AGGAGAGAACACCAGAGAGACTGGAAAATAGATTCTAAAGGATTTGACTGGGAGGGCCATGAGTAGTCAGGGGGATAAAAATGTTGTCATAGAATAGTGGAGCTCCCCTTGACCCCTCTCATCTTCCCAATAACCCCTCTGGGTCTTGTCCCCACCATACTGGAGGACATAGACTTAATACCAGTTGTGAGTCAAATTAATTAGCTGAACATATCCTGGTCAAAGCCAAAGGAGACCTCAATACTAGGCTGATTCTGAGAGTAGCTGTCCAGCTGCCCCGGGCAGAAGTAAGAGGGCAGAGGAGGGCCACAGGGAGCGATTATCTTAAATGAGCAGCTGCAGTTATTTATAGTAATTGTTTAAAAAAAAAAGGCAATTAATCTCACTCTGTTCCACTTGTGATAGACATTATCACTGACCAAGGCCTACAGGGATTCAGGGGTCAGAACTATGATTCAACCGGGCCACACCTCAATCTTTCTCCATCAAACATTTCACAATCACTGTTGGGATACTGGTTAATAATGAATCTGTTGGCGGAGGAAGTGTTGTATTTGTGCATAGACATGCATTTAAAGAGGACCAAACATTTGATCATCAAAAGCTCTGATGTGTTATTTGATCACTGATTTAATGTTAATTAAATCTATGCACAACACTAAAGCATCTGCTGAAAACTGGATGGTGAAGAGATACTTGTTTCTGTTTAAATGAAAAAAAAATCTAACCATTAAATTCAGCAGTATTCAAGGGTGTGAGGCACTATGCCATCACAGATGTTCCTTGCAGCATCAGCACATTTCATGCAAGCAAATGAGCTCTGCACTCCTGGATCTCTATAGAGGAATACTAGGATGAGCATCTTGATGCATTAAATCACAATCAAACTTGGCTCCCATTGTATTCTTCTATAAAGTGATTTGAGTATTTAATGGGACCTTCGGTGTTAACCCCACCCTGCCAACTTCAGCATTAACATTTTTATTTGGTCTGCATGTTGGAGGCCACCCTGCTCATTACACTCCAGCTCCACTGTGTAAACAGACAGCAGCATGAAAGGCTGTGAGGGGCCCCTGCATGCCTGTGGGAGTACGGGGCGTACTTCATGGTTTATGCTTGAAAAAGAGCCATAATCTTCCAGCTAATCTGGGGCTTGAGGGGGAATTCCCCTCGCATGGACGGCAAAAACTAGCATAGACAATGCTGGCTTCAATTCTAAAGTGAGTAATCTACATAAACATATGGATTGAGAATTTTAGTCGTGATTTATTTTCCCATTTCTCTCAAAGTAGTACATTTTCATAGTTTAATGATAACACTGACTAGACAACTTAAGTTAATATTTAGTTGTAAGATAAAAGGGTGGCCCTCAGATTAGTTTAATTGCCATTTTATTGCAGACTAAACATTGAGACACAGTTGAACACTATTTATTTGGATTTTAAGCAATTATTGCCCCCTAGTGCTCCAAATGAGCAATGTCTGAATTTACATACCTCATTTACAATTGGAAGAAATGTGAAAACCACACTGACAGCAACTTATCACTGTCAGTAGTTACTCATTTCTGTGGGAGAGTCTCAAGAGAACATGTGGTTCAAATTTTTTAAATAAACATGTGAATGTGCATATTATCTTAATGTTATGACCCAATAAACAATTTAAGTTAAATCATTTACAACAGAACCAAATTGCAGCACAAGAGTAGTTTCATGTTTGTTGTCTCTTGCTGTTAACTGAGGTCTAAACTCTTACACCTTGACTTTGTCATCTTCTTAACTGTGTTTTGCATAAAACCAAAAAAATCCCAAACATTTGCAAGACTCAAGCTCAAACATCAAAATGAGCGCATAGAAACCATAGTTCAGTCCCTCCATGGTCTTTGTTTGACCCCTCAAGCTTAAACAATTCCCTCTATTAAAGATCATTACAGCCTGTCATGTCTGTGTTTGCTCATGAGCCACATGGCTGCCACCTGCTGTACCTCCACAGCCCTGCAGTTACACAGACCAGTGAAACTGTTGTGTTTAAAAAAAAAAAATCTTATAATGGGTTCACTTTTTTTTTTTTACTTGAATCACACACCATGACAGTATTTACTGATATATTACAAAATATTTTTCTTAGAAAAATGTTTAAAAAAAATAGTGCAGAAATTAAGATACACTGAATATTCTACACATGCCAAGACAGACTTTTCCCTTTCACTGGTATTAGCATGGAATACTAATTACTGCAAACACAAATATTACCACACAAACTTAGACTTTTCTTCGGATGTGCAGGATGTGGATGTCTGGACTGCTGAACTCTGGGTCTTGTTTGTCTGAAGGGATCTCCTCACAGCTGAAGTGTTGTTTCAGCAACTAAAAGATAATACAACAGACCACAATGACTCACCAAGAGGTGATGCTAAATATATTTTTATTATTTCCTGGTATTTAGAAATTGGGTTCTCACCTCAAAAAACCGTCTTTCCACTTTCGGGTTGACGCCCTCAGTGCGTTGCTCATAGCAGCAAATAATGCAGGTCTCTGGCCCAGAGAGCAGCTTCAAGCTCTCCACCAGTGGAACAATTGACTGTGTGGAAATAAGTGATAAGTCACAACGAGAAACTCAGCACAGCACTCAAGAACCACAAGAACAGTTTTTTCATGTTTTAAAATGATGATGATGATGATAGTGCAATCTAGCAAAGGGTCATGTTTGACTGAAAGCTGTAGTAAAATACCTTCTCATAATAGATGCAGTCTGCCATAAGGATATAATGTGGGGGAGGGAAGAACTCAGACACATCTTCACCCCTTTAAGGAAGGTAGAAATCCATCAGTTAGCGTTTGGATATGTCTTACAGTATGTCAATGATGCTTCTTGGATATATAACGGAAATGCAATCCAACAGTATATAAAGTAGGAAATATAAGTACAAACCATTTCAGTACCTTGGCAGTTATGGATCCACTATTGATAAGTGCTTGGTTTTCCTGGATGTTCACTCTCAGGAGGGTCTGCAAATCCTCCAGGTCTGTCACGGTCACTTGAGCTCTATAGGAATAAAGACAGTAATGAAAATTATATTTTGGCTTTCTCTCTGTTATTAGTTTTAATCAATAAAAGGATATCGAGGCCACATACTGCAAAGCAAGGGAGTACAAGCAACTAGCAAGGCATGCTGGTGATACAATACTATATAACGTAACAATGTGACCGGCCGTCACTCTCACCCCAGTGTTGCTGCCATCAGACCAACTACTCCTGTCCCAGCTCCTAACTCCACCACACTCCTGCCTGCCCAGACGTTCACTCTTTTAGACGGGTCGTAAAATTGTTCCGTCTCCAAATATTTTGCAAGAACGATAGCTGCATCCCATACCACACAACCAACATCTCCTAAGTAGCACTGCCTCACTTTTAAGGCACAACCGTCGTTTTTCTCAATTTCTCTCACAAAATATTTACTGTCATCTGCGTCAGCCGCCATGTTGTTCGCGACAGGAAGAAGAAAAAGATTTCCGATCTGAATTTTCCAAAATAAAACTGTAACCTCTACAAATCAGGAGAGGAGAGACAACAAATGGGTAAGTAACAACTATTCATTCAGCAGAATACTGTCTGTGGTAACATTATTCTAATAAACGTAATGTTTATTAAAATGTTTATAAGAAAAATGTTTATAAGAAACGCAATGTTCATTTTTGTTGCTAAAGACTACTTAAGAATGTCAATTCAGCAGTCCTTTCCGACCTGTATTTTTTTACAAGGCACTTACAGACAAGTATTTTCAGAGTAAACTCATGACACCCAAACCACAACTTACAACTGTGATATCTTGAGAATAGAAAATTATGCTTATATCCCTAAAATATCCAAATATCCAATTTTTTAAAAACACTCATAAAAGCATACGTTCATGTTTGTGTTTTACATGCCAATCGTCTCCCTGAAGATACATTTAACACTAGTTTGGCCTTTAGTCTATTGTCATTTGACCGAATATTGTGTATTTCTGTGTAACATTAAGGAAAGAAAAAACAAAGAGACAATTAAGACTTATAACCTATTGTTAATTGTTTTTACTATTTGGAAGTTTTTACTGTTAAAGCTATTACATTTTATTGTCAATTCTTACACCCCTTTTCACATTTCACTGTTTTCGCTGTTCTTGTCAGTGTCTCTGCCTCCTTTAAGCATTTGTCAACAATAAATAATTCATTCGTTAATTCATTCATATTTTTAGTTAGCCTAGATAGCACAAAGAAAATGAAAAATACAGTTCAGATGTGCAGCAAATTTCAATCAGAATCTGTGCCAATGCTGGTAAAGTCTGAATTTCAAAAGGTCTCAAACACCTAAACAAAGTCAAACAGGGATCCCCCACTGGGGGAAAAAATAAAGCAAATATATGACAATTAATATGATATCTTTGAGGCTACTGCATTTGCTAGTCTGATATTGTATCACTGAGGCATTTATCTTTTTTTTTTTTAATAAAGATCCTAAACTTGTTATACATAAGAAAGACCCACATGCACCCCATAGTTACCTTGTATATCACAGCAACAGTTTTTTTCCCTTCTTTTTTCAATTTTTCATGTTTGGTCTCCAAGATTTTTGGTGCATGCACGTTACCTCGGTCCCCTCAAGTAGGCCACACAGAGAAATTGATTAGTCGATCAGTTCTTATACATCCATGATCAATCCGCACAACAAACAGCTCGGAACTACTTTTTAATAACTGATCATAATTGACATGCGCAGATTCTAGCTGCTGACGTCAGGAAGATGTGATATGATCGCGCGCGATTACATTAGTGGTGGCAGGTTATGCTAGCTAACTGTGGGCCTTCTTTGTATTTCATACAGCTGTTTTTTGATGTTATTTGTATTGCCAATGAATTTACAGATGTACAAATGAGCTGGGTAGCATATCTCCTTTAACCTGCCATTAAAATGTTTCGTAGCAGCACAGAGGAGGTCACAACGGGCGGTGACACCTCTGAATGTGGACCGACCTGGTCCCCAACGGACAGAAGTGGACTGAACGAGACTACCTCGTACGCTCCCCCGTCAGCTTCTTCAGGTTCATCCCACCAAAGTTTAGATGAAGGCAGTACGAGCTCCAGCCGTGGCCCAACACTACCCCGAGTGACCTCAGGTGATCTTATGGAGATATGTTGCAGCTAACACTAGCATATATTACTGTCTCCTGAAGGGTGGGGCTATACTTAACGAGGTTAGAGACAGTAGAATGCCATTACAGTAACATTTCAGATATTAAATTCTCAAATGTCCTCATTTGTTTTGATAGTGTATCATAGAACAATAATTGGGACACATTTGTTAGACTACAAACATGTTTCTGGGCAGGGCACTGCATTAATAATACATGATAAAGACCCTCTCCTTATATTTTGTGTTAACATAGGTCAGTTTCATCACAGCTTCACATTAGGGAGGACGAATGCATCACTCCTTGCATCTACTTCAGACAGCTCCTCCTTGCGCAGCCGTGGAGGAACACCCAGATTCAGAAGGACTCCGGGGTCCGCTGGGGCCTCTCACACACATCCTGTACAGACTCCACTGACTGATCGCACCGGTACTTCAACCCTAGACAAATAATGTGTCGGATAAGGTGTAAACAGCTATGGCAGAGTTTCTTATTCAGATTTCTATTTTTTCTTGTAGCAACAAGTTGCTCCTCTGCGACTACAACCTCTGTTGCCTCTGTGATTGTAGCAGTGGTTGAAGGGCGTGGTTTGGCTAGGGGAGAAATTGGTATGGCCAGTCTCAATTTGAAATGTCCAGAGCTTGTACTCTCTCAGTTTGCAGACACTGGGACGTATGCCAAGGTAACCCATTCACTTTATTGGCTAGCAATAATCACTCAGCACTCGGAAAAGACTCTGAAATACAGCAAACTCATGTCACAGTCATATATTACTCTTCTGAAGGTCGTAACCAAGATTCACATCTTGCTGCCACTGGAAATACTGATGCCAGACACAGCTAGTGAGAAGGGGAAAGGCACCAAGCTGTTCAACCTCATCACTGAGAACTTCCCGGTACCAACCCAGAATAGGTGTTATGAGTAAAATGCACCAATCTTTAAAACAAATACTAATTTTATAGCAGAGAATACCTCACTTCTTGTGAGCTTCACTCACTAATTCATTCTTGGTTAGAATTACTGTGAACAGGGAAGGGTGTGTCCCATCTGATGACATATCTTGCCTCTGTCTTATTTATTTTTTGTCAGGGTGTATCTTTCACTGCAATCCAAAGGAAGTATTTTAATGAGAGAAAAGGACTGGAGTACATTCAGCAGCTGTGTGCTCCAGAATTTGGCACCGTCCTCATGGAAGTGCAAGCAAAGTATGCCACTGAGTACAATAATGTATAGAAATAGATATGCTGAGGCACTATACTGTTTTTTATTGTCTTATATCATGATTTGTTCAGATATTATTGCCTAGCAGCTGCAGCTGCTTTGCTGAAATATTTAGAGTTCATCCAGAACTCAGTCTACGCTGCCAAGTCTCTTAAAGTGAGCTTTAAAGGGAGTGAACAGACAGCCATGATTGACTCAGCATCTGCCACTAACTTGGAGTTGGTGGTAAACAGTAGAGACCACAGGTAAGAGGGACAGTAATGGCAAGACTATGAGGGCATCATCCTTGTATGTAGTGCTTGTGCAATAATAGATATGTCTGCCTCTGTCTTTCCTTGTCTGTGTGTAGAAGTGAACATACTCTTTTAGGTGTACTTAACCACACAAAAACACCTGGTGGCGCTAGAAGACTGCGCTCCAATATTTTGGAGCCCCTGGTTGATGTGGACACCATCAACATACGAATGGACACCATACAAGAGCTGTTACGGGACGAGGAGCTCTTCTTTGGCCTGAAGAATGGTCAGGAACAAGCACATATTGTGTAATAGGATGATGAGAGCATGATGCAGTTTTTGAATATCTGTTCTTTTGCACCTCTTAGCCATCAGCCATTTCCTTGACATTGACCAGCTGCTCTCTGTTCTTGTCCAAATCCCAAAGCAGGAAACAGTGCGTACCGTACTTTCATTACTCATGGTTATAGAAGACAGTTTTGTCTTCCCATGAAGTGAATTCATCTGTGTTTACTTTAAAATAATGGACTAACTAAATGTCCAATAGTCTTTTCAGTTCTGTCTCTATATTTTTACAGGTTCAGGTTGCTGAAGCAAAGATTACACATGTCATTCAGCTGAAACACACTTTGGATCTGGTGCCAAGGTTAAGGGTCTGTGTCTGTTGGTATATATGACATTAGTTCAAAGTTGTCCTACAGCCACTGATAAAATTTAAAAAAAAAAAGCTTTTTACTCCACAAAAAGAATTTTACTAATTGTTACTATGTTATAATGGAAATGGTAAATCCTTTAAGCATTACACTGTATGAACAGATGGTGTTGAAGAACTGCAACACAGCCCTACTTAAAGCATACAGCACTTCACTGGAAGACACCAGGTACTAAGTCTTATGCCTATGACATACATTTTAAAACTATTTTGGACTGCCTACAAATTGTGTATATTTGTTTCCACTCCAGGTTTGACTTGATCCTAGAGCAGATCAAGACAGTGATTAATGATGACTCTACATACCTGAAGGGGAGTCTGAACATGCGGACCCAGAAGTGTTACGCCGTGCGCCCTAATGTCAACGAGTTCCTCGACATTGCCCGGAGAGCTTACACCGAGATAGTGGATGACATTGCAGGTGTTTATTCTGGCAGTTTAGTAAATATCTTTGCCTTGCAATGTCTCTATGAAGTAGTCATACCTCAAGGCTTATTAAATGGCATTGTGTTTGACAGGGCTAGTGAACCAAATGGGTGAGAAATATGGCTTGCCGATGCGTACCAGCTTCAGCACAGCTCGAGGTTTCTTCATCCAGATGAAGCTTGAAGGAGCGGTTTTGCCTGAAGGGAAACTCCCCTCAGAGTTCATCAAGGTATGGTCCACCAATGACATGGATAAGTAGAACACTGAGAGTCCACAGACTGATTAAGAATTAAAAATGAAAAAAAAAACAAAAACAAGATAACTCAACATCAGCTTTGAATGAATTAGGCTTAATTGCCGCCAAGGAGGTAATATAGTCTGAATCACTGAATGAACTCTCAGGTTACCAAGCACAAGAACAACTATGGCTTCACCACTGCAGACCTGATGAAGATGAATGACCGCTGTGACGAGGCCCTGAGGGAGATCTTTCACATGTCCTATGTGTGAGACTATGATCCTATGACTTACAAATGTGCACAGTAACGTATTGAATGAACTTAATTACATAATTGATTAGTTGGGTTGGTCTGATAAATTACTTGGTGTTGTTTTCCACCATAGATGAATGTGATTAGTAAGTCTTAAGTCTTAAAATATGGAGCCTGTTCATTTTTAAAGCATATTTGAATATGAAATGATATTCTGTTTCCAGAGATGTGACATTTTACAGAAATGATTGACTTTTATTCTCCACAAAAAAACACAATAATAATTTCTCAGTTTACAAAAACCCGCAGAATCAAATAGTCAGTTCATTCATTTTAAGTTTGTACATTGTCTGTCTAGATCATCATGGAAAGTTGATCTAATGTAGATCCATTTATTTTTGCTCTACTTTATGTCCACTAGAGGGTGCTGTATATTAGCTTTAATTTCCCTTCAGTGCTTTTTGCCTGTAGCATCTAACATTTTTCCATGCAGGGTGATATGTCAGCTGCTGAGCACTGTTCATGAGCACATCCACTGCCTTTACAAGCTCTCTGATGCCGTATCCATGCTGGACATGTTGCTATCACTTGCAAATGCATGCACTATCTCAGACTATGGTAAGTATTAAGATCCATTGCTTTCTATCCACAAGTCAGTCAAACTGTCAAACGGTGATGTGTTGTCTGCATCCAGCCAGTGTCACACATGACAACCAGAAAGAGCTCTACTCAGCTGGCAGCTCTGCTGGCCTCAGTTTTTTTTTTTTAATGTGTGGGTCGTGGGCAGTATCAGCCACGTGGGTGGTGAACGCTGGCCTTCAGCTGTCAGAAATCGTCTCTCTATAAACACGTGCTGACTGCCTGCCCCCTTCTATCCCAGCCAGCTTGTACTCAGATTACCCTTGTTACATAAGTGTGCACTGGTGCGCTGCATTTACAGAGACAACTCTCTCTAGCAGAGGAGCCAGCTGCCTTTAAACACTGCCCACTCCTCTTTCAGGAATCGTTTTTTATTATATTGTGACTCACCTTTCAGCTAACCAACCAGCAATTAATTATATAAGAATTTCATTATATATATGAAATCTTATACTGTGTTTAGGCACATAGCCATGATAATCACTGAGTCACCAGCTATACGGGTTTGTAACAAAATTGCCAAATATTAACTGATACAATGTAGCTGTCTTTAAATGCTTTTTGATCATCCCATAGAAATCCGTGAATGAGTTATTACACAAACAAAATACTAACAAATCAAGGTATTTTTGATTGTTGTTGCCTTTTTTCTGCTGTGTCTGCCAGTGCGTCCAGAGTTCACAGACACACTGGCAATCAAGCAGGGTCGTCACCCCATTCTGGAGCGAATAGCTGGACAGCAGCCTGTATCGAACAATAGCTACATCTCCGAGGGCAGCAACTTTGTCATCATCACTGGACCCAACATGAGTGGCAAATCCACCTACCTGAAACAGGTGGCGCTGTGTCAGGTCATGGCTCAGATAGGTTAGCAGCAAATCTCTCAGCCTCACATGACTTTGAAAAGTAAAGCTGCAAAGTGCTATGCATTGATTTGACTTGATTTTTGAGTAAAGCTGCCTGCATCATTATTACAGGCTCTTTTGTCCCTGCCGAGTACGCCTCTTTTCGTGTTGCTGATCAGATTTTCACCAGAATTGGTGTGGATGATGATTTTGAAACTAACTGTTCTACGTTCATGTTGGAAATGAAGGAGGTATGTGTTTTGGGTTGTTTTTTTAAATTTAGTTTTTTGTTGTTTTATTTGTTGTTTTGTTTTTTCACATTAGGGTCGCACATGTTCTTTAATTACATTTATGCTGGATGAAAACATGAAATTATCATTTACTGTACACTTCTTCTCCAAAGATCTCTTACATAATCCACAATGTAAGTGACAGGTCCCTGATCATCATAGATGAGTTGGGGCGCGGTACCAGTGCTGAGGAGGGCATTGGCATCTGTCACTCAGTTTGTGAGTTCCTCCTTAGCCTCAAGGTACAGTATACATAGCAAAAATCTGGAATAAAACCTGCTCACAATCATAGACTGGGGCGGAGTTTCCATGAATGCCTCTCATTCTTCACAAAATCTAAATCTGAAAATAACATACCTGAACTTCATAAATCAAACTTATTGGATCTTATTTATGATGAATAAAGCTACTTCTCTAAACTGTACCCGATGTGATTTGAATCTGATGGGGACATTATGTGGGAGTGTCCACCAGTTAGACTTTTTTGGGAACAAATAACATAATAATATCATCCCTCTGAAACACTTGGGTTAGACATCGACTGCTCTCCAGAATGTACACTATTGAATGATGATTCTGGGCAGAATTTTAAACATACTCAAAGTAAGCTGTGGCTATCAGCATGCACTGTTGCTAAAAAGATGTTTGCGATTAGGTGGCAACCACCGCACTATCTTTCTATTCATCAATGGAATCACTCTTTAATAGAGATTTTATATGGAACACTCTTGCTGGGACGAATTGGGTCATGCTCAAGGCTAGAACTCAAGGCTAGAACTCTGATATAACCTTACCTTGTTTCTTTATTCACTCTGTAAAGTGCTTTTTTGAAATGTCTTGCATGTATAGTGGAATTTAGAGAGGTGTACTGTAGGTTAGGGTTAAGGAGTAGGTCTATGCTTTATGATACTTCTCTTTATCTTTTACTGTGTTAGTAATCTGTCATTGTTCCTTATATCTTATGCTATATTTATTATGTTACTGACAGTGGTTACTGGTGATGTACACCTGCAGTCCTTATGGAAAATACTTTTTTTTTTAAATTTGACACAAAAAAAATAGGTAGAGTACACGCCAATGAAGTAATGTGCTGCCACTCCTCTCTCTAAAATGAAAACCAGATAAGTCAGATTCCTGCACTTTATATTAATCACTTAACTTGTTATTGTGTGATGTGGTGCACATCTTAGGTCAATAGTAAACTGAAAAAATAAATACAGGAATAGTGCATGTTGTCCAGTGATTTAATCTTCAAGGTGTGTGCTGTTTCTCTGCTGTTTGCAGGCGTTCACCCTGTTTGCCACACACTTTCTTGAGCTGTGCCAACTGGAATCTCTTTATCCTAATGTGGAGAACCAGCACATGGAGGTTCAGCACACACGCAGTGGTGACACTGGTACTGAGAGTGTGGTGTATACATACTTGCTGAATCGAGGATGCTCTGAGGAAAGACACTATGGTAAAGTTTTAGTGAAATCCAAGTACAATTGTGTTGAAACTGGTTATGAAAAAGATGATGCAAAGCTTGTTTTTGCTGTTCTAGGTCTGAAAGTAGCAGAAATGACTGCCCTTCCTTCAAGATTAATCCAAGAGGCAAAGATAATTGCCTCCAGTGTTAGCCAGCAGCTCTTGGTATGGTTCATAAAGATCAGATTTTGCCTCTTTGTTGTCTTTGGTGCCTCAGCCTGTTCTTTGTAACTTTATTTGCATACATTGTGTGCAAGAGTATGACAAGCTTTAATTTACAAGACACCAATATTAGACCCTGGGGGATTCAAATGTTGTGCCGTGGCCTCTGATGAAAGATAGTACAAATATTTTTGTGTCCTACAAATAAAAATAAAATTTATATCAGAGAAGTGCTGGATAAAAGACAAGACTTGAGGTGTGTTTCATTATTCTTGCAGACCAAACATCACAGTGATCTGGAAACACAGAGGCAGAGAGCTGTGTACCACCTGGCCACCCGCCTCCTGCAGGCTGCCAGGAACTCCAGACTGGACCCCGACAGCCTGCGTATGTATCTGAAAGGCCTGAGGAAGCAGTATGAGGCAGAGCTGCAGGCAGCAGGGCAGCCAGCGTCCATGGACACAGAGGAGGAGTGACTGACTCAGCCTTACAGTGGGGAGGGGCAGTGAAACACTTAGAAAAATTAAAGATAAGTGTCTGATGACCATTACTGGGCAAATTGTGTTTATACATTGGCTTGATTTGAAATACATTTATTTGAAACACAGTGGTCGCGTTTTTTTGTTTGATTGTTTGTTTTTGTTGTTTGCCATCCTTACAATAAAAACAATATTATACCACATGTTCATTTTAGAAATGAAATGTTAATGGTATCAGAATATACGTCTAAGCGATGAAGAAATCCTGTCCTAAAACCATAGATTTTTTTTTAAATATATGAGAAGTGCAGTTAAACACTAAACACCACAAATATACGGGAAGTCCCCATAGAAATATTAAAGTTTCATTTACTCGTGTCTACAGGCTTTGGGGAAGTGCAATGACCACTCCCCTGATTGCTTTTGTCTGTCGTAGGATTTCTAAACCAAGGACATCTCGAAAAGGCGGGGCTATCTCTCATTGTGTATTATGTGAGTACAGCTCGGGTCGGTGTGCCTCGAGTGACAAAACAAGCGTACCCCAGCAACCTGAGTATGACCCGCCCCCGCGAACCAGAAACAGCAGATAGTCTGACGGATAGCGCAGGAGAAAGCCAGGCTGGAGCTGCCCTGGGAAGTCAGGAGTCTGCCGGAGTCAACGCAGAACAACGCCATTTCACCACTAGCTAAGGGAACAGCTAACTGAAGCTACAGGTATGTTTTGAGGAGCCGTTTTCACCGACCTTATGTTTATTTCTCGTCAGAAAGCCGTTCATGTCGGTCTTAGCGTAGCTAAGCTCTTTACCCAGGCCTGGGAACGGCCCTTAGGACTTAGACGGAAGAGTGGAGCAGTAGACCGGGTCAGAGATTTTAGGAGAGGGGGAGGCTGGGTCACCAGCAAGACGAGGCCCGTGGGGGCAGATGTCCACGCCTCCAGACGGGTTGAAGGTTTGTGAAAGAGAAACAAACTTGGACGCCCCTGTTAACATTTTTGTGGGTCACTTTTATCACCGAAGACTTCCGCACTAATAATTGGATTGGCCGGCTCACGTTAGTTGGCTAGCGTTTATGTTAGCTAGCTCATTCATAGTGTTGAGCAGTAGCCACTCAGACACGAACTTGAGTGGCGACAAGCCTTTTCCTGTGTGAATTTATTATAGCAACTACTTATAGCCATGTCCACGCCATTGTTGAGCCCTCCCTCTTGAACATTTTTGCTAGTCATGTTGGTGGGGTGAGCTTCCCGTCGACATGTGTCTGTCTTCTTTCGCTTTCATGATTCGTTTGATCATAACGTGTGACTAAGAAGCGCTAGCTCTGCTAACTTAGCTAGGAAGATTAGATCAGCTCCGATATTTTCTGTGATTATAGGATGTATCTACAAGCAGTCTTTTCTTGGTGAAAGAACAGCTGTCATTGCGTATCTTGGTTCAGTAGTCTATACATGGCCGACGATTAGACATGACCTAGCATGCTGGGACATTTAGTACTCAACCTTATTGAACTACCCTTGTTGAATGGTGAAGTGACTTGCTGGATATCAGCCTATCCCAAAGACACTTGAGGTGTTATTTCTTATTTTTGTTACTGAAAATGAAGTAGTGACTAAATATATGACTTTATAACTCCCACTGTGTCCCTATGACTTGTAGATCTATCTAGTTCAGTTTGTCGAACTGACTTGTGCTAATGCTAAGTGAACTCTGAACTAAAGTCCCGGAAATCCTTGGAAATCCCTTAAAGACACCTCAGAATCACTTAAAGAAATTTTGGTTTATACATAAATGTATCCCTGAGCTTCTCCTCTCTTATGTGGCGTGGTGTCAGTTCTGTCTTGTTGGCATTGCCCATTTCCTTGAGGTCTATCTGTAGATAAGCTCTTATCTAGGGCGTCATGTTTTGCTTGATTAATGTTTCCTTGTTACAGCCTCACCAGGAGGAGCGGAGTATTTCAGACTAGTAACACGTAGTTGTTAGTGTCTTCTACTACAATCAGGTGCCAATGGCCTATAGTGTACTATGCTACTTTCAGTTTGGTTTATAACCTGAATACTGATAAAGGGGAAGTATCGGTTTGTTATCCTTATAGTTTTAACTATTCAGGCAGAGCCATATTCCAGTTGTCCTACCCATCACTCTAGTTTATCTTTAATTGCCTGCAATCATGAAAACCTCTTGGATAAGAGGTGCTGCTGTATTAATACAAGGGGATGGAGTGACTGTCAGTGTAGCTTCTATAGATTTTTTTTTTTTTTTTAATTTTGGTGTGGAATTGTGCCTAAAATTGATTTGTTACAGAAGTACAGTAACAAACTGCAGGTTAGATGACCCTTACACTTTCAGGAAGTTATACTCTTGGTTATGAACAAATATTATCATTTGATACTAAAGTGTGTATCATGGCTACATTTAGAAGTAGAGTGAAGAGTTTTAAGTGTAGAATGATGCATGGCCTAGTTTTCAAGTACTGTCTGCGCTGCTTTTTGGGCCTGATAATTATCAGGAGTTCCCTCTGTGTCCATGCCTGCCAAATCAGGAGGCCTGGCCAGCCAAGTGGCTAGATTCCGGGGAGCTAACAGCCCGAGAGGGCTTTGTCCTCCGGGCTCATTTTGATGCTGGGACAAGACTCAGGCTGCACAAGGAAACTCGCACACCTTCCACTCTGAGACCATGGACTGAAAGAAAGCAAGCAGGTTTCAAATTTTTACTCTGCTTACTCCACCCATTCTTTATATGCCAAGAGGCGATGTTGCTTTAAGAGTTATTTAACAGCTTCATTTGGTCTGACATGGGAGTTTCCTGGAACATACAGTTATTGTAACATAAAGAGAATTTCCTCAATTGTTAACCACTGATATTTAGCAATTGAACATTATTACTCAGTTAATTCATGTTGTGTATCTAGTACATACTGTACTATAGCTTTATGTCTTTGGTCCTGTTTTCTAAAACTTGCAAAGAGGCCTAGCAATATTATGTGCTGGTTTTATACAATCAAATACACTGAAAGGCTTTTTTGGTCTTTGCATGCTGCTTATTAGACTTAGTGTGTGGTTTCTGTACTGACATTAGGCTGTCCAATATGAATAGCCCATCTTCTAATGAGGTCACAGGTTGGAAGACTATACAGGAGACAATCTGATAATTAAAAAACTATCAACTAAAGGCTCATTTTTTCAATTCAAGGTATCGGTTTTTGACTGTGTGCTGAGTTTGCACCATGCGCCCTTCACAAATGTTATATAATAAAAATTGTTAAGAGAATAGTTTCAAAAATGTTATATAACAAGGACCTTTCAGTTTATGCTCAGAATAAGAGCTTTGTCTTGAAGGGTAGAATAATTTTTCAATAAACGATGAGTCAAATATTAAACATAAATACCTTCCTGGTATATTTTTTGTGTGTTTTGGAAGATGTAGGTCTTGGACTTGGGAATTAAACAGAGTCAACATTATACTATAGCCTAAGCCTGTGAGTCCTCAGGAAACCCTGCAGTGGAAAGTTATTCTTAAATGTATTATCATGGGTAATCTCCTTAATCCAAATTACTTTAATCCAAATTACTAAAGAGGTCTGCTCTACGACGGTGACTCCTACGCTACATTACTGGCACAGATCTTGGGTATAGGGTGGGATTGTGCAGCACTCCAGGTCACTCACTGTCGCTGCCACTCTGTATTGTTGACAACACAATGCTGCTGTCGTCACCTAGGGATTAACTTGTCCCCGTTTTCAAAACACAGTGGTTTTTATTTTTGTAATAAGTGCATAAATTTGCACAAGGCATTGCTGTGTGCAAGATTGCGATACTGTCCAGGTCCAGTATTGTTGATTCTGCCTCTTAAAAAATTGTAGAACCAGCTCAGTGCTTGCCATGTCAAACATGGCATTGAGGGAGGAATCATGTGGAATAAACAGGAAAATGTTTAATCAAAAAAGGATAGAAATAAGAAAAAATAGGAATAAACTGCGAGATTCCTGCATATTCCAACAGCTGCCATACAAATTTGATGGATTTTTTGTTGAAATTTTTGGCAGGTTTGGAATATTTCTTTGACTAATCACATTGCTTGGCTGAGACACTGCATCAAGTGATTAAACATATGTAAATACATAGGTTACCGTTGCTATGGCAAATAAGTCCACCTCCTCTTAAAAGCCATTATGCAGGCATTTCTTCAGTATTGTTTATGCCAACAAAAAGCTAATCATTAAAGACTACTAATGCTCAGTAGTTGGTTTTGTTTTATATTGGCTTCTAGTGGATGTGTTGTGTCTTAAATTATTACTGCTTTATCAACATCAATCTCATTCTAGTTCATTCTTACTGTAGCCTTGAGGAGACAACACATAATTCCTAAGAATATCTTTGGCAGATGCTAAACTGATGAAATCGCAGGACCTCTTGACTGTCAAATTTGCCTGCAGTGGAAGAAGAACCTTTTTCTCCCTTGGCTTGAAGCAGGCAGAGGCCAAACTGCAGCTGCAACAGACCTCAGCGGGTGACACTTGCATGTGGGTGTATTTTTGCCTCTTGCAAACTCATCCTCATATGAGTTTAGAATACCACCATGTCGTCCTTGTGGGGGCTGAAGGAGGGAAGTGACTAAATGAGACAGTGAGCCATCTTCTTTTTAGCCTAGTTGTCTCTGATGTTCTTGACCTATTTTGTAACCTTTTAAGCCAATGTGAGTGAAGTAGATGGCTGTTATCCTTTTTTTCTGTCTGGCTCTTACATGCCACATTTCAAGTAGTTGCGTCTTATTCTCAATGAACCTGTTTATATGAAGGTAAAGAGGATGTAAAGCTGTGTAGCAGGGGTAGTGTTGTCTAATTGGATCATATCACTAAGAGAGGACTTTTGAGTACTATTGATGTACAAACACCCCCACTGCCCAATGTCTCATACTTTCACCAGTTCACACATGACAGACTAGCCCTCCTGGCTAGTAGCAGTAACTGAAATGCAAATAATGTTCTCTCTGGAGCTCAGACAAGTGCAGCAAGATGAAAGCAAAGATTCATGTATATCAGTCTATGAGCTCTTATGTTATGTGATCTATGGATTTGAGTAGCCTTTGGCATTTACCTTTGCTGGTAGAAAACTGTTACCATAATCTCACACACAGAGTTTGTGTAATGTGTTTTTTCCTGTGTCTTTCTCCTTTTATTCAGAATGGCGGTGGATATCTACGACTCTCAGTACCTGCTCATCCTGGCCCCTTCCCTGGTCATTGCCCTCATGTTCCTCTTCTTCTGGCTCTTCATGAAGGAAACCTCCTATGATGAGGTGCTGGCCAGGCAGAAACGTGACCTCAAGCTACCACCATCCAAGCCAGACACGCGTAAGAAGAATGAAAAGAAGAAGAGCAAGAAGAAGGAGAGTGCCAGCGGTGGAGGTGGTGGAGGTGGCGGAGGTGGAGGAGAGTCGGAAGAGGATTTGCGGGACTTTGATATGGCTGATGGTGCCAACAGTTCCACTCTGGAAGTAGAGGAGGAACCTGCACCTGTGGCTACACCAGATCCTGCTCCACCAATACCGACTTCTTATGCGCCTGTTCCATTGTCAACCGAGGCTCCTGCTGGTCTGAGGGAGAGAAAGAAGAAGGAGAAAAAGGCTGCCAAGGCTGCTGCCGCAGCAGCGGCTGCTGCTGCCGCCACTGCTGCCGCTGCTGCTGCTGCTGCCGCTGCTGCTGCTGCTGTAGCTACAGCTCCCCCCTCCGAGGGGCCAGAAGTGAACGGCTCCAAGCCAGTCAACCGCAAGGCAGAGCCACCTCTGGCTGCAAGCAAACAGTCCAGTCCACCCTCTCCCCAACTTGAGGTTCAGGTCCAGGTCCAAGCTGCTCAGGCTCCTGTTCAGGCTCAGACACCTCCCCAGGTCTCTGGGAAGAAGAAGGAGAAGAAGAAACAAAAAGCAGAGCCTGGTGAGTAGCAAAGACAACAAGTTAAAGTCATGTGTTGGTGTGTTTCTTTGGAAAACATGAAAATTGCTAAATACTCTTATGAAGTTACAGTGACTTTAACTGGCAAAATGTGAGGTTCAAAATTAGCTGTAGTAGCTGCATCATTAGTTTTACAAGTTTATCCCAGTAGGCTATATGGTCTTTTCATCAGTGTCGAGGCAGACTGGTTGACACTGACAGTATTCCCCCCCTTGATTTTCCAGTGGATGACCAGCAGCCAGAGGTTAAACAGGAGCAGGCTCCAGCACCAGTGAAGAAGGACGCTCCCCTTGTAGCTGAAATCAAAGTTCTGGATGGTGCAGCCCCAAGTGTTACCACTGGCAAGAAGAAGAACTCTGCTAAGAAGCAAAAGACGGAGCCTGGTAATGATAACATAGTGGTCCCATCAATATCTTTAAAATCTCAGAACATGTGCTCAAACTGATGCCTGGACTTTTCACTTTGTAACCAACCAGTTTTTCTCAAATCCAGTAGATGAAGGCCATGTTCTGGCTGACTCTGCAGCTTCTGCCAACCACCAGGCAGCTCACAACGACGATGTACCGTCCAAAGGGTCTGGCAAGAAACAGAAGAATGAGACTGACAAAGGTAAGAGGGAAAGACAATTCTGATACAGTCCTTTGCTATTTTTTTCAGTCCCAAACTACGGTCCAGCCAAATGATAATCTGCAAAACTCCATCTTCTATCTATTGTGTGTTCTCAACAGAGAACACAGAGGTGAAGCTGAAGGAGCTGCTGTCTGGTCTGTCCAGCCTGGCTCTGTCAGAAGCCGAGGCTGTCAGTGTGATGGCCCTCCTCCGAGAGAAGAGTCCTAATGCCTTGGATGCCTGGCACAAAGTGAGAGATGAATAAGTGACAAATTTGAATTAGGTGTTTGTGACAAGTGGCATTTCACACTATTTACATTTGGCAGGAGACCTGGTATTTGTAGTTGGATGTGCAATGGCGTCATTTTGAATTGTCTGTCTCTCACCACCAGTCTGCAGCCAGGCCTGACCCAGCTGCCCAGGAACGAGAACGGCTCCTGACAACTCTTCAGGAGGAGGCCTCCATTGCCAAGGACAAAGTGAAACAGCTCAGCCAGGTCTAGATTTCTATGTTCTACCTAATTAAGTACACAATATGCTTAATGATTTATTTTCAAGCTTATTTTTCATACATCAGTAATCATTCTCTTGCTTACAGTAAAGTGCTTACATGCTATGTTGCCTGTGTGCTGCAGGAGCTTCAGGTGGAGAAGCAAAAGACAGGACGTGTGGAAGCCATGATGAGGGAGCAACGTGCAGCCATGGAGAAAGAGATGGGGAGCATGCAGGCCAAGACACAGAGCACCTACCAGGAGCTCCAGACCATGCAGATAAAGGTGAGGGTTTTGATTTGTTAGTACTGAGATGAATTCAATTGTTTAAAAAAAAAATTGTGAAGGCACATGTACCTTTCAGTGTTTTTCTTTGCATGGAGACTGAATCTTACTGTTTATGTGTAGTTCCAGCAGGTGAGGGAGCAGCTGGAAAGCCAGATCACTCGACTGCAGCAGGAGAACGGCATCCTGAGGGACGCAGTCAGCTCTGCCACCAACCAGATGGAGAGCAAGTCAGTGCCACAATACATTAACTACACTAGATCAGACTTCCTATCCTAACATATCCATCTGCATGTTACACAATGTTAAAATGCCCTTTACAGACTATTTGTAATCTAATTCATCAACAGCTTCTTCCAATAAAACCCCATCAACTATTTTCACAACAGCCTTTTGTGCTTGTATGTGTGTGTTACTTTATAGGAATTCAGCGGAGCTGAACAAGCTACGTTCTGAGTACGCCGGTCTGATGAAAGAGCTGGCAGACAACAACAGCAAGCTGCAGCAGGAGGAGCACCAGAGGAAGTCACTGGAGGTCAGCTACAAGCAGAACGTGTCCCAGCTGGAGGTACGCTAATCCAGATGTACAATGTGTTTATTTAGCCTCTGCTTTAGTTTCCTCAGCCTTGACAAAAATGAACTGTGCTGCAAAACCTGGGCATATCACACAGCTTCAAATCTGGATAGCGGGTGTGGCTCTCTTACCAGGGAAATGGGAGGAGGTTGTAGTGGAAGTCCTGGGGAGGGTGAGAGGATTGTGTTGGCTTTGGAAGCTGGAATGTTTGAGGCTTTGTGCTGTGTATAAACAACACTTTCCTGCTAGACACCCAGATCAGGCTTTCCTGTCTTTTCATTGACCGTGATCAAAGATGGAAATCTTAAGTTGCTGGCTCGACACAGATGAGCCTCGGCAAAGAACATGAGAGGAATGCCGAGAGTTGAGAGTTGCCCAGCCTTGAAAAGTCAATGAAACGATATCCACAAGATATTTTGCAATTTAAACTTACCATTCACTTAAACAGACATCAAGCTGTGTTTGAATTCTTTCGGATAAAAAAAAATGACTAGAGATTCACAGGCTTGTTTAAATTCTGGTGGCCTTTATACAAATCAGACTCCATCCTTGACCTGTTATTGAAGATGTAATTTGTTATCTCAGTACTTCAACAAGTCCAGTGTGGGTCTAACATTACCAAGTTTAGGGTTCAAATTCCTTTTAAGCCACTTGCGCTAATATTTTATAAGCACTTGTGCGCTAGTATAATGAGTGGGAGTAAAGTGTTCAATAAATTGCACATCTCTCTCGATCCCAAGGCCCAGCTGCAGGATTCTAAGCGTCGATGGGAAGAGCTGCAGAACTTCCTCCACAATGTCAACGCTGAAAGAGAGAAGCTTCAGGCCTCTAACCAAGGTGATAAAACATGAGATCACGCTAAAATGTGACCTTCTGAAAAAGGGTCAGGTTTCATTCAGCATCATGTGTCTGTGTGTGTCTGTGTGTGTCTATGTGTGCCTGTGTGTGCCTGTGTGTGTGTGCAGAGCTCCACAGCCAGCTGTTGGCAGCCGAGACAGAGATGAACAGCAAGAACAAGGAGATCCAGACCCTACACAGCAGCTTGACCGAAGCCATGGTCTCCAAGGAGCGGGTGGAGCAGAGAGTGATGGAGCTTATGGAGATGTCCAAGCACAGTATGCCTGACGACTCGCTGCAGGCCCAGGTTCAGGTGAGCCACCACAACATCACATACTCAAAATCGTCATTAAAATTTCCATTACGTTTTTGCCTAATTCAATGTATTTAATCACCTTATTCAGACTTTTATTGAATGGAGCTGGATTGAGAGTCACATTGTATAACACTGATGGATTCTTCAAATGCATTTTAGTTCTCTGAAGAGTGAATTTCTCTATGAAGCAGAGCAACACTGACTTCTTGTATTCGCTAACGCAGTCTATTTTTAACAGGAACTTATGAATGAAAACAAAGGTCTTCAGGTCCAGAGTGAGACACTACAAGTCCAGAATGAGAGCCTGCAAGCCCAGATTTCTTCACAGGTATATTGTTCAACCTCAGTTATCAAATGTTAAATCATAATAAGATGCCCACCTCCATAACTGTGGGTAGACTAATGAGATCTTTTCTTCTCATTTAGGTCACCCATGTCTCCCACATTGAGGAGCTACAGAAGCTGTAAGAAAAACTGTTCCCTTTTCAGATATAATCATTGCATTTATTGTAGTGTGCTATGTTTTTTTTCATGTGTTCTCCAAATTGTCCCCCTGCTCTGTCCAGACTGGCTGAAAAGGAGTTGCAGAGGAAGAGTTTGGAGGATTCTCTAAATGCTGAGAGGAGCAGTGGGGCCAGTAGAGAAACTAACATGCAGGTATAGTCATAAGAGCGTTTCATCTATAGCTTCTTATACTAACATTGCATTGGTTCATTAGTCTGCTGGAATTTGGTGAAAATGTTCCAGGCCTCTCACTGTGCTGAACAGGAGTATGGATTGAAAACCATGTACACCGCTCTGCTGGAAAGAGGGCATGTTGATGCACATTTGCAGATGCCAAATTGATATCATTTGTTTCATGGTTTCATAAACAAAAGACTGAATTGAGTGCTCTGTCATTGTTCAAACTGTTTCACAGTCTGTCAAATCCTGTATTGTCTTGGCATAATAAATGTTGACTCTCCCTCCTGCCTCTGTGTTCTCTCCTCCACAGGCCTTACATAATGAGAACATGTCACTGAAGGCAGAGGTTCAGAATCTGCAGGCACAGATTTCTGATCAGGTTAGCTATGTACCTTAACTATACATACTGTATATCTTATAGAAGATTCAAATTAGTTTATTCTGTTTGACACACACCCTCTCTGTCTATTTGCCTTTGACTCTCCCCATGCAGACTGCTTCCCAGCTGGCTTTGGACCAGTTCCAGAAGAGGTGTGTGTGTAAAGTGGAACATGTTTTGAATATACTAGCTGGTTAGTTTTGTTACTGATAATGACCTTTTATAAAACATTGCCTCCTACCCAGTGTCCGGGAGAAGGAGGAGAACATGAAAACCGTAGAGAGCCTCCTGGAGAAGGGGCTGATTGAAGTGGCCAACAAGGAGGAAGAGCTCAAGGTATCTGTTTTCTGTGGGATGAAAAAGGACCAGCCAACGGTAGCAAATCTTGAAACAAGTTGGCTCACACGCAGACCCACATTTGACTGACATCAGCATCCTCTTAAGTGACTCTGCATTTCACTGCCTGCCTTGTAATCAAAACCCCTGATGGAAAAAAGTCTTTAATTCATTTTTTTCCCTGATGTAGGCTGTAAGAGAAGAGAACGAGGCACTAAAACAAGAAGTAGAGGGCCTTCAGAAAAAGACAGTAGAACAGGTGAGCTGTTCTAAAATTTGTATTAAAATGGATTTCTTGAGTTTTGCACTTTATTCCAAATTGATTTGTTTTACATTTCCTTTCATCCGAATCACAGGCCTCATCAGAGTCAATAGTGGAGGAACTCCAGAGCAAGTAAGATCAATCAAGTTGACACTAGTGTGTATGAATCATCATGATAATATAGTAGTACAAAGTCTTATGTTCACCCACCACTGTCCACAACACACAAAAACGCAACACACATGTAGATAAAAATATCTAAATCTAGTGTCAGCAGCTCTAATCATTCAGTGGCAGCAGCTTCGCCAACTGGCTGAGATGAAATGGAGCTGATGCAAGTCATAATTATATGTTTTGAAACCGTAGGTTACTACATTCTGTACTAATACCATATCAAAACTAATCCCTCCTGGCACTCCAGGACACTCCCTAGGCACACTCTTGATAGTAATAAAAACTTTTATCGGATTCTCGCTGGCACCAGTGGCTGTGCATTGTTAAATGTGTCCTTGTAGTGGCCATCATTATATATGCAAATATCGGCAGATTCCGTGTGAATTGAAACAGTTCTGTGTAATGAACCCTTGTCTCACTGTGCTTTGTAGGATCCAAGAGAAAGATGTGAAGCTAAAATCAATGGAGGAAAGTCTACAGGCAGCACAAGACAGCAGCTCCGCCAGAGAGAAGACCGTTGAGGTGTGGGCTCTTCTGTATCACTGAAATACTGGGTTTGCACATTTCAGGAAACCACAAATACTGTTCTTATTGTTTGTGTTGTTGTGTCCTACTTTGAACTCTTGTCTGAAGCCGTTTTTGTCTCTCAGTCTCTGCAGCAGCAGTTGTTTGCCCTGCAGGCAGACATGGAACAGCTGAGGCAGAAGGAGACCCCAGAAGAGCTGACCAGCTCTGGTACCCAGCTCCAAGAACTCCAGGCTCAGTGAGTTAACACAACAGATCACCTTGCAGTCCTCCAAGGTAGCCCTTTCAAAACGGACTAATGATGAGCAAATCTGACCCACAGGCTAGTGGCGAAGGACCAGGAGATCCAGATGCTGCAGGCTGAGCTGGAGGCACGGGCTAAGCAGATGAGTGAGAAGATGGAGCAGATACACCAACAGGTGAGGAAGTGTTTCAAAAAAATGCTCGCTACAAAGTCCAAGAGTGACACATTTATTGCTTAAATCAGGAAGATTTGCCCAACTATGAAAAATTTTTAAGCATAAAAGAACAAATTTGGTTGGAGGAAATGTACTCCTAATTAAGAATGTGATTTTGCAGGTAGAACTGTTAACGCTTGAATTGTTCCTAAATTTTGATCTTTCAGTCTTTTGTAAAATTCTCTTTCAGTCCTAGATTAAATTGAGTGTTTTTCCCCCCTCCTCAAATAGCAGTCACACACAGCAGTGCCAAGCCCAGAGCTTCTTGCAGCGTGAGTAATGTGGGATGCCAATATCATAACATATAATATTTTTTTAAACATTTTTAGTTTAAAGGATACTTAACTACACAATCATGTTCATAACAAGTGGTTATGTTGTCGCCTAGCAGGTTGTCAGAGAAGGAGAAGCAGGTCTCAGATCTGCAGGGTGAGCTGGCTGAGCTGAGGGACTCCCTGGAGCTTCATAGGAAGAAGAACAATGTAGGTTTCCTGCAGTGATGACCTGAACTATATAATACCAGTGACTGCTCTGGTCAAGCCCTGCGAGACATCATCCCTCCTTTGTGTGGTACCACAAAACACTCCCGTCACACTGGAGTTATACACTGCATACATCCATACTCCCTGTTGTCCAGTGCCACTTAGTCTCACTTGTTTTGCTTTTTGTCCTTTTTAAACAGATATTTTAAAACCAAATGGAAAGATTTCTTTAGCTAAGGTTGTGTTTGTTGCATGATTTTACACATCAGTACTGATGTCTATTTTGATTTGGATTGCTTAAGCCGAGCATTGCATAACAGGGCTTCCAGCCTACTCTTGTTATGCTTGCCGTTGGCCATGACTGTTTCAGCAAGCTTGTCTGTGCTTGTGAGTGATTCAGAGCATTAGAAACTCGCCTACCTTTTATTTTTGAGAGGCATAATTGATTTGAAAAGCTTATTTATGTGGAATTTGTTTTTTCATTTTTGTATCTTATGTATGTCTTTAGACAGCATTACTTTCATTTGAATAGAAGGTACTCACAGAACATTGTTACTATACATATCTTGCGTACTGTGCATGCTGATTTTACCCACACGAGGTGTGAGACTGGGACTCTGGAGGCGATTTGCTCATACTTATTTTTAGCAGTTGGAGTATGGCTGAAAAGCAGAGTGTAGTCATTTTGTAATGAGAAATGCGTTCGGTTTGTTCTGTTACTCTACAAGTCTGTATTTGAGGGTCACTGAATGCATTTTCCCTGAGGCTGAACTGAAAGTAGTATCTCTCTGGAACTGACCAAAACAGGAGCTTCGGGAGAAAAACTGGAGTGCAATGGAAGCTCTGTCAGCCACCGAGTCCATGCTTCAAGGGAAACTCAGCAAAACTGTCAAGGTTCGACACCCCACCTCAGTCTGTTTCACTCTAGTTCCAATCTGATGCATCCCCCCCAAAAATGCTGTTTTTGCCATAATTGACCCAGTGAGATTTATTTTCCACCATCATCCAGAACAAAGCTGCATACTCATTTACCTCACTCTCGCCCTTCCCCTTTGTTTTTGGCCTTCAGTTCTCAATTGGCTGTCTGCTGAGCTGTTGAACTACGCTACTCCCCTCTGGAATCTCAGACTTTATTAACTTAACAAATATTTTTTTCAGCAGATATACTTTTGCTTGAAGCTCTGAAAAATAAAAGATTTCTCGCTGCCTAAAGCTCAGGCTGATGCTTGGAAATGAGTGTGCAGTGACCTAGAAATTATTTCACTAGATATCATTAGATTGCGATTCATGGTAATCATTTTGCAGCTTCCTGTCTTTTTGTCATGTGACTCATTTCTAGCATGTTTTTTCCCATTCTGCTTTGTGACATCCATACTGTCAATTTCACCAGTTAATCAGTCAATGAAATTCTGTTGAACTCATTTCGATTTCACTGCAATTTATTCTTTTTAAAGGATGTATAATCATTCAAAATTTTTCATGGAAATGCAGCAGTGTCCTAATGTTTCTCAATGCTCTGTATTCACAGCTGAAACATCTTTGTTCCGAGTGTAACTAAATGTTAAACAAAATCTTCACTATATTTCTTGCAGGTCTCTTCGAGTAGACATAGATTGGGTTACCAGATAGCTGTTCTATTAACAGTTGCAGTGACGTGTGTATATTTTGGCCGTCCTCCCCCTAGATTAGGGAAGGGTACATGCTGAACCATCAGCACAGCAGCTGCTCTTCTGCCATCTGAGTACAGTAGAAAGCACCTTCTCAGAGCTGAGCCAGGGAGTTCCTTGGCAGCTGTTGTGTACTGTCAGTGAATTCTGGTTGCTTGTATTCAACTCCACACTCGTCTGTCTCAGTGCCTTGTGACACAGTGTGTTAATGTGAATAGTGGTTAGAGTGCCAGCTGGCTAGTGTCTGGCATACGTTCTCCCTTCAGGCCTCAGAGTGACAGTGCATGATGCTGGCCTATTGTAGGAGGACTGATAGCTACCTTTTTATTCATTGAAGAGTTTCAAGGTACTTTGTGCAGTTTCATGAAAAGCAGATTGATATACTTGTGGATCAAGGAGGATTGTGATATGCTCTGAATCTGCACTTGCAGACACTTGGTGTAGGTGTGGCCTATTGAAAGATGCTGATGTTTGCTTAGGCTAATTGGATGTGGGAGTGAGACAGTGTTTATCCTTGTGCCCTACAGTTATAATTTAAAATGCTAAATAAATCATTCCTGTGACATTGATTGGAGCAGCCTGATGGATGAATTGATGATGACTGGTTTAAAACAGGATTATTCAGATTAAAATGAGGAAGAAGAAAAGGATGTGGTCATGTCAGATCACATGATCACTGGACCTTGTCTTCGAAGTGACTAAATCATTTGAACAATCGGTGCTCAATCTTTCCGTATGTTTTTTTTTTTTTGTTTGTTTGTTTTCCACTTTTCCCACTCCCATCACCTTGTAGGAGAACCAAACAGCACTGGCAATGTCTCAGACCGAGTGTCGAGATGTTCTGCACAGACTACTGCCCCATGTGCCTCTGCCCACTGAACAGGTATGGGCAGTATTGGATTTTTAACTCCACGCAAATTGTGTTTGAATACCCTTCTTTGTGCTGTCGAGCTTGGTGGTGATGTTTCACTGACATTTCTCTTTACTTTTTTCTCCTAGAACCATCAGGATTGGCTCCACAGATTTGAGAGGGCAGTAGCTGAAAACTCAGCTGCACAGTTTGCCCCTGCAGCAGGGGACTCTGAGGTAAATAAAGTAGAAATGTAAAGTCGAACCTTATTCCTTCTTTAAATTGAGGGTATCAACAAATACTATTCTCTTACTAGGGACTGGCTGAGAAGCTTAAAGAAGCTGAAGAAACCCAAAGGATCCTACAGAAAGACTGTGAGACGTACAAGAAGGTTTTGGCAGAGACGGTGAGATGAGGTTTTTGTGTAACATTCAGGGTTGCGCAGTGCTACTATATCTCTTGCCAAACTGAGCTGTCATTCCTGCTGCGTCCACAGGAGGGTATCCTGCAGCGCCTCCAGAGCAGTGTAGAGCAGGAGGAGTCTCGCTGGAGAGTGAAGCTGGAGGTATCGCAGGGAGAGCTCAGAGAGGTATGTATTCAGGTTGAGCAGGTCAAATACCAGATCACTAAGGTGATATATTGTTCACTGTGTGCAGTTTCATCATTCTTCTTTTTTTCTGTTTCATTAGATGAGCCAGAAAGTCACAGCTATGGAGCAAGAGATTGAGAGACTAACTGATGGAGCAGATATGGAAAATGTTGGTCCTCAAACTAACACCCACATTTCTTCTCACACTTATTGTACATCAAACTCAAAACGCTGTGGTTTTAACTTGTGTTTGTCTTATGTTTAGCTGAGAAGAGAAAAGCAGCATTTGGAGTCTGAGCTGGAGAGGGCGGAGCGTGAGAGTGCCACCTATGTGACGGAGGTCAGAGAGGTGAGCAGAAACTGGACTTGTTCACCCTATGTTGCTTGTGATCCTCAGTCATGTCACAGCATTCATCCTCCTGTGGCAAAAGGATGAGCTCCGTTGTGTATGATTTACACATTCATGTGTGTTTCTGTTTTCATGTTTGTTTTTTTTCACGACATCCTGGACACTGTTTATTTGGGGTTGTATCAAATTCACACAACACAAACATGAAGTATTGTTAAACAAAAGGTACACATGCTTCACATAGTCAGCTCTAGCAATAACTTAGTTACACCACTTACCAGACTAACTTAATTGATGACCTTTGGTAATATACAGCCATGCACAACAGGATCATGTGCCTTATTTATCACTACATGACTCTGCTGAATATTGTGAGGAGGGATCCACTTTTTGTAGATGCCTCATGGCCTGATCAGCTTATATCACTACGTAGACTGTGTGCTAGTAGAGCTGTCCTGGACTGACTCCCGCAGACTCCCATTAAACGCATCATCTCAAACTTAATTTCAGCTCAAAGATCTGTTGACTGAATTGCAGACCAGACTTGATGGCTCATATACAGAGGCTATCAGACAGAATGAGGAGCTGAATTTGGTAAGAGTTGCTCACCCTCTAGAGATAGAGCTCCTTTTTTTTAAACCTATCCCTATTGCACTCAGCAGTCGCTCTACACTGACTGCCACAGGACGGGGTTCCCCATCTTCTGCAATAGTGGGTCATCATCTATAACCTCTGTAAACATGGAGTCATGTGAAGGAGACAAATTGGGACTGTAGCAAAAATTAAAGGTTGTGGATGATGACTCACCTTCACACACAGTGGTACTTACAAGACTAACTCTTCTCTCTCTGCACTGGTGCTCCACTTCACCTCACTGCCATCTAACAAATGGCTTACTAGTCAATTTTTTCTCCTTCTGCAGAGGGCAAAATAAAAATGCTCCATTTGTCCATCATCAGCTATAATTTTACTCCTCACCTTGAACTGCACATTGTCTTTCCCTTTTCTGCATTCACACAAAGCTTGTCTGTGTTTTGTTTCATTGTCTTTGTCTTGCCATGATGTGACTGGAGATCTTTCAGTGGTCTTCATTAGGTGTTAGCTGTCAGTTTTTACATTTGTTGGCTGCAATAAGACCCACAGTAGCACTGTCAAAAATGCAACTTCCTTATAAACTTCAGTGAGGGCTCCAGCAAAAAGAAACAAATAATACATATTGCTGCGTTGTTGGCAACAATGCATTGGCCAATCAGGTATACTTGTACAATGTACAAGGGTACATTCCCGGCAGGTTACTTTGTAAGGTGAGTGATGACTTAATCATATTGTTTATTGTTCAATCATGGAGACAGGAAAAAATGACTGCAGTGATGATGACTTTCCAGATTTGTATAATCAAAGTATCATAAACGGCTGTTCATTGTCACGGCATCTGATAAGACTCAAGCACAAATGTATTACTCAAACTAGACTTCCTGGATAATGATTCATCTTCTCACCAGTACCTGTAGCAACATGCCAACAACGCAGCCACTGGTACTCTTTTACACAGTGCTATTTTTGGTTTGATCATGGCCTAAGTAGGACAAGTGAAAACTGTTAAATGTGTGCAAATATTGAGCATTTTTATGTAGGAATTAAATGTAAACCGTGTTGGCCAGAGGTTTTTAATAAGTGACCTTGTGTTCATGCAATTATGAATGAAAACATGCTATTGGGAGGCTGTTGTGTGCTGCAGAACTGGTGTTGAGTGTCTGTTTTGATTCTAGCTGAAAACCCAGCTCACTGAGACTCTGTCCAAGCTGGAGGTGGAAGAGAACGAGAGGCAACGGGTGGCTGGTGATTTGTATAAGGTAATAATTTATATTTTATTACACAACACTTCTGATATGGGTCCAACTCCAGGCCAAATTGTTAACAAGTGGAACTTTCCGGTCCTTCGCACAGGCCCAGCAGTCTCTTGATCTAATCCAGGGGGAGCTCTCCAAAGTGGCGGACAATGCCGATGACCTGATAGAGAACAGCAGTCTTTCATCACAGAGAGTGAGAGTCTGGGGCATTTTGGGTGCTGTAACAGATGGTGGTTTATGTCTTTGCATGTATGGTTATTAGGTGGTTACATTGAACTCTAAAACCAGTCGCTCCGTCTCTTACAGGAGGAGATTGACAGAAAAGAGAAGATGACTGCAGGACTAAACCAAACAGTCAGAGAACTGCAGCAGCTGCTACAAGCCGTCAGCCGGCAACTCGCCAAGGGACAGGAAGGGGTAAGGCTTATTACTATGCTGTTCTTACCACCCAATAAACATAGTATCAAAGTCCTGTATTTCCACTTGAAGCAGTGTATTAAAATGTGCAGTCTGAACTTTTAACATTTGTGATTTCTTCCAGGAGGCTGACAAAGATCTGCCCAAGGTATAGTGAGAGGAGGATAGCCCCCCCCCCACATGCAGCCACTCTGACTGCACTATAGAGACCACCTTTGACCTTTGGTCTCATCACTACCACCATTACACCATACGGTCACACCCAACCACCTCCTCCCTCCCAACCTCTGTCACCTCACCTGTACTGTAGGCAGCCTCCAACTGACTCTGGCCAAGGCGCTGGCAAACAACTCCCAGACTCACTGTTGGCAACAAGGGAGAAGGCAGAGGTTACTGTTAATTCCAAACACTCCAGACACTGTACCAAAACACACACTACTCCACTCCCACCACATTCCTCTTCTTCAGTAACATCGCCGGTTAATTTTTATTCTAAACTTAAAGATGATATCCAGCATAATTTAAACTGCGTGGCAACCATTCCTGTTTAAAACACCTGTATTTTTCAATGAAATCCTTTTTGAATTCTGCAGTAGTTTTTGTTGTTATTTGTCTCGAGGGGGCAGTGATACAAATTTCCAACTTAACTAAACAAACTTTGGGTTTTCAGTCCTTTTTTTTTTTTTTCTTAACTTAAAGATATGTATTGTTTAAATGTACCAGTTAGGACCTGCTGAAATACACTATGTTGTTGATCTGTTTGCCTCATGATCAGAAAACTATCACAACCTGTGCATCATTGTGCATTCATGAATTCATAGCTCCATGTATACCTTGGCTCAGTATTGGGTGGGAGAAGGGAGATCAGTAGGGGTCTCAGCATATCAGATGGGTCACTGCGTGACTGTAACTATGGAGATGCATGGACAAATTATAGTCAAGTCTGTACTGCAGCTCCAGAGAGAAGGGAGTCTGTGACCCTGGCTGTGGGAGAAGTCCAGGTCAACAGTGTAGAGGTTTTTAAATCCTACTGCAACTACTCTAGGAATAAGCGTCCCATATCATCTGTAATCAACACTCGCTATATTATTGCTAAGTTCATTAACACTGAAGATTTTGTTCTTTTTGTAACAGGTGATGTTAATAAAAGGGATGCTTGATAAATCTGCCCAGGGTCCTGTGTTGATTCTTTTTCTTCCACTGCACATCTTTCTCCCTACCACTGTGGGGCAGCACAAAACCTTGGTTGAAATTTCAAATTGATTTAGCCTTGAACTGCCTGAATGTGCACAGGGAGATTACAAAGCTTCTGCTCGTGTGGCTTTTGCTGGCAGGTATATTCTGCTCGGCAAAATATTCATCTGACTTCCCTGTACACAATACACATGTTTGTCATGCAGTGGTGTTATTTTTTAGTTGTAGTTGTAAGTGTTTTGTATGACGGTAGAGAAGCTGACACTGTGCAGCCTCAATTATAGAACATTTGGGGTGTGATCAGTTTCCTGTCACGGTAACATGATGTATAATCCCTCAGAATAGACTCTTTTCTCACCTCCTCCATGAGATTTTACAAAACATTTCCCATCAGTAAGATGTGATATGAAAGGAAGTGAAAATAAATGGTAGATGAAATGATCCAAAGGACAACTCCTGCCTTGATTGTAATGTTGGGAAAACATTTGACCAATTGACACTGAGTTAAAGATTATGAAAATATATTGGGAGCCATTAAAGTACATTAGCACATGTATGGCAAAGATGCATAGATGTGCTAAAGTGTGATTTTTCTTCTTACTGTTTTAGATGTATCTTTAGCTTTCTATAATAATTAAAGGACAAATACAGGTTCTGTTTCACTCGACCTGACTTGAATTTGGGTATCTGGACAGAAACCTCTTGCTCTCATCTTTTGCATGTTAAAAGGCCTTTAAAACAACAGGGCTGTTGTGCTGGCCGGGGGGTGGGGGTGGGGGGGGTTAGGTCAGGGGCGCGAGCAACATGGGATCAGCACATTCCTCGCATTCTCCCACACTGTCATGCTGCAGTCAGCTGATGGAGATCTGGCTTTTACCTTCATGGAAACCTCGCGACGAAACAGGCAGCACTGCATCTTCAACATATTCATCAGTAACTGGCTCACAAAGGGAGCGCCTTTTACAGCCTGTTGCTGGAGAGTGCTGTACCATATGTACACAGTCCCCTGTAAAGTGTCTGAGTCATATTACTCAATCTTGGATTTAAATGTGATCCCTCTGAATAAAATTAACAAGCTGTTTGTTTCTCGGAAAAACCTGACACGTCATCCTATGGGGGTAAATGACAAAACAGGTTGTGGGAGAAACCTAAGATAAATCTGTGTGAGGTTACTGTGTTAAACACTTATAGACAGTCTCGTGACCAATGTGTTAAGTCTGGCAAAGAGCAGTGAGGAAGTTAATAGGGGCTTTGTCTTTCCTATGTCACCATTGCTCACACTATTAGTCTCAATTGCGCAATTTAACTTGTTGCATTCGGCTTCTGCTCTGCATGCTTCTTGCCTGGTAACATTTGACTCCTCCTAAACATAGATTTGCACTAACACTAGGCCAGCACAACTTCAGCAAAGCAGCCCACTCCCTGCATCTGCTCTCCATCAGTGTGGTATGTGCTAGAGAGTCTTTGATCCCCACCCCCCAACTCTACTGTGTGTGTGTTTATATGCAAGGGTGAGTCAAACAGACACAGAAAAGACTGTAGTGCTCTTTTACACAGACAATGCCTAGTGGATGAAAGCAAAGCGGAAAGAGACAGTGACACAAAAGAGCAGTAAACATTCATTATACCCACAGCTTTAAGGCCAGCCCCTAGGCCTGTAGTTAAAGGCCTAATGCAGCTTGATCCCTGTGCACAACTGCTGAAGAAGCTGGAGTTCACTCCTCTGTACTATTAATGGACAAGTATGTGCAGCTATGAACAGAACTAACAAATGCCGTGGATTAATCTGATTTGCGTTGCTTACAAATGAAAAAATACATCAATGTTTTATTATTGTACTGCAGAGTTTAAGTTGTAAAATGGAGAGCAGGGAGGGAAGTACCTCCATGGGCCCCAGTGACACCCTCTACCTTTTATTTTTATGTCAGGCGTTATTACACTTTGAAACTGAACACCAGTTCAAATAGAGGGCCATAATTGCAGAGGCAACAGGACCTCTGAAGGGGCCCGAAGCAGTGAGGGCACCTCACCTCCATCCATGTAGATTCTTGTGAAAACAAGACAGAAGCAGTAAAGTGTTGATGAGACTGCCAGACAAAAGTGGAGAAGTGGCACATTCATCAGAAAGGTGTGAGAACAACTGGACTTGTGGGATATTGGAGGTTGAGAAGTTCTTGACATCTTCACATACGGTGTGGACATTTGGTTACATTAGAAAGTCTGTGAGTCCTTCTCAAAAGAAGTGATTTCAGTTACCATTTAATGACTAGACATTATTATTATTAGATTGAGGTGCATCTCACATGAGAAGATATTACAGAAAAAATAAGCATATGTATGGAGGGTTGCAACCAACTTTATGCAAAAGGAGAGATGAAAAAGGGAAGCTTGACAACAGCATGACATTGTCAAAAATGATCGATGAAATAAAACTTCCAGGCTTGCTGATAAATAGTGATGTCATTAGGTTGCATAATCAATCACATGCATTAGCCAACTGCAGTAAAGTCATAATAAAATAAAGCCCTTGAAACGGCCCAGGGGGGTCACCAACATGAGCAAATCTGATTTCACTATCCTTGCACTCTCCAAATTATCCCAATCAGGAAATGTACCAGGATGATTATTTTTCCCATGTGTTTCCCACTATTACTGCCCCACCTTATGTAGGCTGACTGTGTAACTTTATACACTGTAGTCATATCCAATAAAATGATGTGATTCCTAAAACTGTTTGTTGAAACAGAACTGTGTCCTGTAATGTGTATATGAGGAGGATGTTACGACTAAAAAGTGTGTACAACCTTAATCTTGTCAGATATAGGAGGCTGGAAACTTTGAAAACATATCAGGAAAAGTATGATCCCTTTAAGAATTCCCAGATTGTACTCTTTGTTTACATAACACAAGGTGCGATCCATGAACCATGTGAGGTGGTACAAGAAGAGAGTTGTTCTCTGAGTTCAATAGTTTTGTTTTCTTTGGAATAAATTAAGCGCGACATATTTTCACTTGATATAGTGAATAACTTTAAATAACTTTATACAACATAGTTTTGTCAGAAACACAACCTTAAACTCACGCAAGGTGAAGTACCCCCCTACACAAAGTAAAGAACAAGAGAATGGTACATTCCGGCCCTGCTCCTCGCTGTTTTTGTATCTGCTTCAGAGCGGATTCAACCGCCAAGTAAGTTACATTTTTGCCATGTCACGGTAAAGAAGTTTGAGACCAGTTTATTTATAGAAAACTGGATTCCTTAGGGCACACCGACGTATGCCGCTGGATATACAATATGAAATGAGAGCGTGTCGTGTTTTTTGAAGGGAATTCCTCGTGATTTTTGAGCCGCTGTTATTACTGTATAGCTAACGATACACAGTGAAGCCAGAAGCCTCATGTTTTCGTCAAGCCAAGAGGAGCACTGCGCCCCGTCCAAAGACCCAGTGAAATACGGGGAGCTGGTGGTGCTGGGGTAAGTTGAGCCATTGTGATATTCATTTTGGGATATTTTTACTCTGGACACTTTCACAGTGGACGTGATGGCGAGTATTTATCTTGAGGAAGTTTCTCAACAGGGCACCAGCAGCTAACTTAGCTACGCGACCGTAAGTTCTAAAAAATGTGAGAATTAGCAATACCTTGTGTTTATTTAAGCCAAATATTTTGTTATGCATAAACAAACCTATAGATATATGAGTAAAATACGTAAAGCCCAGTTGAGAAATTCACTCGCTCACGTTACTCCACAAATCAGACACGTGCGCAATCAAAAATATGTACATTTTCGTTTTGCCGAGTCGGTGGCGATGTTTCATTACCTACTAACCGGCAATAAAACAGCTGGCTCGGCCCATCTGAACATGCTGATGTCCATGGAATAGATACGTTCAGGACAACTTTAGTAACTCGGGTGAAATGAATCTCATACTCAGCAGCTCTGACCGGGGCACTCCTTCCTACCTTAAAGTTGGATTCATGGGGTTTAAGGAATTCGGAAGTGGTAATGGCCCCCTCCCCCAGCCCCCAGGGTTCTTCCCTTTTTCAAAACTATCTGTAGCTCAGACCACACAACCTTACATCTGTATAACATACAACTTATATTGTGTGGCTCACATGCACTACCAGGCTTAGGTTTGTGTTTTTTCCAAGAAGCTAGATTTGACTGACATGATTGTTGCATTAAATAGTTTGAAATCACACCTTGCTTATCCCAACAAAAGTCTTGATTTCTTAATGTTCATCTAATGTCTGCTGGTCACGTGGTCAGTTAGGGGACCTTAACTGTTACCAGGATTTTGCAGTATCAGCCCATAAGTGGGGGATATGGATAAAATCCTCTATAACAATATATGTGAATTGTCACATAATACTAAAATGGGAAACTGTTCATGGATAAAATGACTTAACATGACATATCTGTTCTTGGCTAGTTTAGCAAACCAAACACTTCCAAAATCAAGGCACTTAATCACATTCACATTCAAATTTATATCAAACTATTGCCAGAAAACAGTGCTGTACATTGATTTACAATAATGCCCACAATGGCCTGATGCAACCCTAGATAATAGCTACCACAGTATAGATGGTATGGTACAGTTTGTGGACAAATGTATATTGTCTCCCCGGGTTTTGTGTTGTCACATTACCTTACAATAGTCTCTATCAAAGATTGAAAGCTCTTTGTAAGGGCAGTTTTCTTTCAAAGACTTTTTAGTCAAGGTAACTTTTCTGTAAGGTAGTGATTGCAACAAGCACTGGTGGATAATTTAGTTGTGTTTTATTTCTGTACGTCTTTGTTTATATCAGTAAACCTGACTGTATTTTTTGTCACAGATTTGAGTATTTTATATCAAAACACCATTGGAATCTTGGTCCTGAAAGTTCTGCCAATAATCTTTTAAAAGGCTATGTATCAAACCTCAATACTTTTTTGGTACCAAACAAAATGTGTCCATAGCACAGAGTATTGAAAACAGTCAAATAGCACTGCCACTAACGATTATTTTCATTATTAATTAGTCTAAAAATTACTATCTCTATTAAACATCTGGCCCCAAAATGTCTGAAAAATAACTTACAGTTTACTGAAGACCAGAATGAAGTCTTCAAATTGCTTGTTTTTGTGCAACCAACAGTCAAAATTCCAAAGAGAATCAGTTTAGTGAAACAGAAAAACAGAAAACTTTAACAACTGAGAAGCTGTAACCAATGAAAGTTGTTTTTACCAGAAAGAAAAACTATTGATCACATTGATTGTAAGTACCTATTAATTCTCTGTCGATGGATGAATCGATTATTTGTTTCGAATATACTGTGAAGTACTGAAATTTCATAAAAGATCCTGATTCAAATTTTGCAAACCACTTGGCAAAGTTCTTGTACTATGTTTAGACATTATTCAATATGTGAGCACTTTGGCTTCTTTTGTTCTAAAAAAAAAAAAAGGCAAAAACACTTATTCTTCTCGAAAAGGTTTCAGAGGGTTTGGCATTGCTACTGAAACTATCATATCATATCACTGTTATCACAAAATTTCAAACAATACTCAGCCTTAATCTGCTGAAGTAAAAAAACAAAAGGAAAAAAGGCATTAGTACACATGTCTCATCCTGCCACCAAGTAAATACTTGTGGGGCTTTTTCTTTGTTTACGTCAGAACTATTTCAAAGCCACTACTGTGTTTTTTTCTGGATTTGTTCAGGAAAAGCTGCAGCCAGTTATCATTGTAAACAATCATGTATATATTGATAAACTGTCAAGGGCAGCAGCTGCAACAGATGATGATAAACACCTGCTGTGGCATCAGTGATTGGAGTTTGGACAGCACTGAAATTCTTTTGAAAGTTATTAAACTTAAAAAGAAACATTTTTAGGTATCTGTGCTGCTGGTAGCACATGTATATAGTGTTTGTTTAAAGCACTTGAAAAAAGATGCTAATGAAGATAATATACAGAGCCTGGTTTAGTGTGGTTTTGTCCCTTGCCCTCCACCCATACAATTACAGTCATACTGCTTATTATAAGGGTCGAAAAGTGCTGACTGCTTATTACCCCGGGCTGAACATGTGGCATGTTTGAAGCTGATGCTTTTGTTCTCTCTCTTGACATAAAGACACATATTTGAATCAGATGTGATGGGTGTATAATCACTGCCATGTCATCACATCCCATTGATAAAACTGATGGTAGACAAGATAGCTGACAGCATGGAACAAAGCTTGTTTGAGCAGCAGTTCCCTCAGTGGTTTGTTGCCACGACCGAGGTGGCTCTTATTACTTGCATGGCTGCCCCCCATCTCTGCCTGGGCGGATTGGCTTGGTGCTGGTCAGTGAAAAGGGGGGGGGCGGCGGCGGCTGTGTGGGTATCCTGGAAATGAAAGGATGGATTGATCAGGACCCAGCCTTTGCCTCTCCTCAGCTTCCTCTGTCCATTGTGGATGGAGAGACTGGGCCTATTGATTGAACTTTGTACATTTCTCTCTCAAGAAACGTTCGGTAAAGGAAGTGTGCAAATCTACTTGGAGACATCTTTGGTACAAACTGGCACTGATTTTTCCTTTATTCTTCCAAGGAGAAGTGTGATTCTTTTGCCTTTCTCAAGGTCCGAGTGTAGGTGGAGCATGTGTGGTTCAGTGTCTTGTGCAAGGTCAAATCAGTCAGATGGATACTTGAGGCCACAGCAGCTTGATTCTGAGTTAGTTGACTGATACTGTCCTTGCTCACTCTGCCATCTGGCTGTCTCCCATGTAGTGTGGATGCACTGGACATGAATTTGTACAGTTTAAATTGACCTATATGAAACACTAATAGCCTGCAGTCTTGTTTGCAGCATTATTTGACCCCTGTGGCACCTTGTGTGACCCCTTTAGGCCACCCTGCCTCTGTGTCATGCTAATGAGTGTTATAACAACTCAGCATATCTCATCCTGCGAACACTATCCTTTCATGTTAGCATAAGAGGTAGGAGGTGCTGTTGGCTCCTTAATGCAACCCTGGAGGATAGGTGATACGCCAGAGTCTTCTAATCCCTGCTCCAAAGTATTGGAAGGTAAATCCGCTGTCTGTCTGGCACAGGTCAAAAGGGAAAGCGATCACAATTATTTGGAGCACAGCTTTAAAGAGCCTGTCCTAGCTAATGTGACGGTAGTGGTTCCTGGATGACAGAATATTGTTCCTCAATGTAATGATGAATAATAGAAGGCATGTGTGCCATTGCTCAGAGAGCCATGGTTATATTCAGCAGTTAGAATTCAGCATGGCAAAAATGCTAAGCTGCATATCATCTGATTGTGTGCTGTATGTGAGACATCCAGGCACAGGTATCCAGCTGATAGGCCCACTCAACTAAATAGAAATCTGAACAATATGTAGGCCTACTGTAGCTGCTCTTTATTTAGATGGGGAGTTTCTAGGACAAGCTTAATAAAATTGGAATATAGAGTCAGCAGCACACTGTTAAATTAGCTTTAAAGTGTGTTTTTTAATGAGAGATAATCAATATTTCTATCCCATATGGATCTCTTTCAGGCTCAAGATTATCAACATGTTTATAAGCTCTGGTTAATAAACACCATAGGAGTAAATTTAACATTTAGTTGTTCTTTAATTTTGATGTGCTTTCTGTTTTACACTTGTTACCAGAGTAGATCTCTTTTAAAAGTAACATGTAAAAGAAAATAACTATTCTACAATAATCAACATTGGAAGTAAAACCTGAAGACTATATGGATAATTTAAACATTTTAAGACAGTATAACAGTTATCTATCCACTACAATGTATTAGTTGTAGTTCTGTCCACAGTATCATCCAGTGCCTTTCTAGGTCTCTGTGGGTGGCTTGTCCTACAGGCCAGCTTTGTGCACTGTGCTGACTGGGTCCATGTGTTTCCATGCCTGGCCAGCCGTGTGGAGACATGGGACAGGTGGACTAGCTTTGGAGGGAGGTAGGGTGGGGAGGAGCAGAAGGAGGCTCTTGTTGCTACCGTTGCATTTGTGTTGCAACAAAGAGTAGAAATGTCAGATTATGCAGTGATTGGTTGAGTTCTTTCCCTCATGAAATGCACTGCTGTACAAACCGGAGGCTTTAAATAGATTTATTTCCGTTTTGTAAAGTGTCTGTTCAGCATACTGTGGTTACATGGGAGTGACAGAAGGTCTGTGTGTTGGATGGGAGTAGAGCATGGGGTGTCCCAGCTGTAGGAACCAGCTGGTGGATGGGGAGAGGACCAGTCCTACCGGAAGGGGCTTCCTCATTCACAAGGAGCAGCCTAGGCTAGGTGCCTCACAGCAGACTGAAGGGCAGAAGTAGAATCTAGCACTGAGAAGGCTCTTAGATGCTTCTCTGGTGGAGCCGAGGCTTTGAAATTGAGATCTTAGAGCTGTCTGTATCAGTGTATAAAATTCAGCGTTGAGAGAATGTGTTTCAGTCATGTGAGCCAGTTCTCCACCCAGACTGCACGCGTGCCCAAAGTGATAGCAGACCTGACGTGCATCTTAAAACCTGTTCCTGCTTGGAACACAGAGCAAAAGAACAGCTGCCGTTTACACAGAGCTAGCTCACTGAAATCACAAGCACCAGAGTGCATTATGTAATAAGAGACATTATCCAAGGTAACGCTTAGACTGCTAATAGGGTGCATTAGATTGCCAGTGATGTAATGCGTGGCAAAGCTCCTTTTCAAAACGCATGAATGTTTTTAATTCTCCATGTTTACTTGTTATATGATTACAAGAATTTTGCCTGTAAATCTCATTAGACACATCTTTTTTGCAGCTACAAAAACTGTTTGCATTTTTGTAAAAAAAAATAATAAAATTAAAGTGAATTTGCTGTTCTTTCCCTGCACCCCATCCCCCTCTGTGACAGGTACAATGGCTCTCTGCCCAATGGAGATCGGGGTAGACGGAAAAGCAGATTTGCGCTATACAGGAGGACCAAAGCCAATGGTGTAAAGCCGAGCACTGTGCACATCCTCAACACACCCCAGGCCAGCAAGGTACAGAACAGATCGAAAGATGAATGAGTGATTTAATAAAGAGACTCTCCGTGGGAATTAAGTCATTTCTGCTTGTCTTTTGATGTATAATTTAGACAAAATGTATACAAACATGTAAAGAAATAACTGAAACAGTGAGTGAAGAGTAATTTTGTCAATGCATTAAGGTCATTTTGAATTCATATTGTTATTGAACTGAGCAGATTTTAGATCCTCAAAACCAAAACTGACTTTTTCAGAGCAGCACCATGTTTTTTTTTTTTTTTTTTTTATTCAGTAGCTTATAGAACACGCAGAAAGCCCCTTTACATTATTGTTGGCAGACCTTAATGTTGACATTTCCCTTACAATTGCAGTTCCAAGCCAAGCCCCATAGCTTTTTCTCTGCACCAGAGTGCCTGCCAGAAACTGCCCCATCCAGTTTAACATGTCTGCCTCCCTGCATTCCTGCCTTTGGTTCCCAAGCAAAACTGCTAAACAAGCTGGAGGACCTGCTTACCTCTGCACCTCTTGGAGGCCAGTATTTCAGACATTTGTAGAGAGTTTAGCTTGCTGGCCAAAGGCACTCTGTTTCAGGTTACACTCACCTTGTGGAACTTGACTCCTGATATCTGCTTAGAGGATTTTTCTGTGACTGGGGCTTTTTCATCACATAGACTGTGCATCGCTCCATTCGAGTTTGAGCTCAATGTTCCTGCTGTTTCACAACTACAAGTTGTTTCGCAAACCATGTTGCACTGGTCTTTACGGCACAGCTAAACTGAGCAAAGTATGCCATTTTAACAGTTAGTGACAGACTGTTTTAGAGATAGGAACTGCTGTGACCATCTTCCCCTTTTTAACACTGTTCCTCTCTGCCACCGTGCTACCAGGCCTGGGATTAGGAGGGTGAACTGAGGAGGAAGTTGTCGCAGTAGGCTTCCAGCTGTACACATGGTCAAAAATAGCAATTCCTCATGGAACAAGCAGGATGGTGTGCTTGATTTGAGGAGAGCTTTCTTTTTTATATTATTTTATATTCTCTGGCAGTCCCCACCAGCCTACTCCTGTTCCCTCACAGTGTTGCAGTCTCATACAAATGAACTGAGAATACTCTGTCGCTGAGAAGCTGAGAGGAAAAGCTCACGTGTCTGTGCACACTCTGGTGTTCATGACAGATAATGAGAAGCTCCCATGCTGCCACTGCCAGCCTCCTATTCAAATCCTGCCCCTGCTTTCTCATCTCGCCACTTGATCTCAATTACTTCATTTGTGCATGTGATTGCTTGCATTGGCTTTCTTTTGGGGGATGGTTGGCCCATGATGGTGTTTTTATTTTTACTCCTTCAACTCAGGGAGGGTGTGTGTGTGAAATTTTGGGGGTGTGGTGTTGTGCCTATAAAAATATAGCTTTCTGTTTGGAGTGTGTAGAGACTTCTTTTAGCCGTTGAACAGGTGGGGCACCATTTGTTGGTAGCAGTGCAGTCGAGACAAGACTGCATGTGATGATGACATTTGTCCCCGTCTGTCTCTGATGTTTTAGCAGAGTGTGGCAGCGCTGATGACCCACTTTCTCTCTCACTGTTTCCCTCCTGCACGTGACAAAGAGAGGGAAAGGGGGGGTGTTTGGAAAATGGAGTTTGCAGATTAGAGTGGGATGATAGTGGCATGTGGTAAAGTGTTGATGGGAGCTGGGCCTGTGTGGCTTTAACCCACCCTTCCTCACTACAGTGACTGAGGCAGCTCAGCTGGTAGACGAGCTTGTGTTAACTGAGGCCACTGGGCAGTTTATGGTCACTGTCACGGGAGTGTGACTTTACGCGCTCTTCTCTGTTCCTCTTCCAGAAATTCCTGCCACAGATCTTTTTGGTAATTTCATGAGGAAATTATGGAAAAAGTCACAAGAGGTCTTGCTTTAGCTTATGTTGTAAAAAACACAGTAACAAAATTCACCATGATAAAAAGCCTGGGAGTTTTTAGTTTTAAGTAACAGGATTAAAATAAGGACAAATATACATTTTCTTCTAAAAACACTATAGCTGTCGTAGACTGTTAGGATCTGACTCATCAGTTGAACACAATGCATTTTAATAGTCGGGTTGGGTTGGGTTAAGAGTAGGCTCAGCAATCATTCAGTGATTGCACAAGGCATTTGGTAGCATAGCTCCTGTTTGCGAACCTCTGGCTCTCTCACATCCGGTGTTAAAGCCACAAACTGAGACATCATTTCTCCTGACATCATTATGACACAAAACAACAAAACACTTGTGTTTGTGCTCATACTTCTGTCATCCAGATTATATGTATTTCATGTGCTGTAATATATTGATGTGTTTGTTATATTTCAGGCTGTGAATTGTAAAGGCCAACATAGCATCTCCTACACGCTGTCCAGGAACCAGACGGTAGTGGTGGAGTACAGCCATGATAAAGACACAGACATGTTTCAGGTAAAAGCCAGTTTAATGTCACTGTTGCATGTAAAGAGGATTGCATGTGTTACTCTTTTTGAACATCCTATTGGCTCCTCTACATTTGATTTATTGTACTAACCACTATGTGGTCCAAATATATACACATTTTCTTATCTTTTCCCCTCTTGAACCTTATCCTCCACCAGGGATTGCATGTGCCCTGTGTGTGTACTGTCAACTGTTCTGTCTGTAGCATTAATCTGAATGTACAGCAAGAAGATGATGACCACAGGGAAGTCAGCACTGCAGCACGTGCATCATATGTAGGCCTGTATTGTGTCCATGTGTCTTTTAAATAATATTGAATAAATGGACACTAAGACCTGGCAGAGAAGGGTAACCATTCAAAAAATAGGACTTCAGGACAATTTGGGATTTTAAAAATGAGGAAATGAAAGGGGGGAAATGCTTATTTTTACCTCTGTTTGTTCAGCTTGAGGAATGTTTGGACATTTTTCACTGCTGAGCTCTGTGGTCTGTGTAAAATAAGCCTGAAATATTCTTTTTGAACAAAAAAAGAATAGAAACTTGGATTCTCTTCAGAGATGTACCGATATAACAACAACATGCTGCTGTACTGAACTCTGTGTACCAAAGTGTATCGTGTCTCAGCATTTTTTAACACACACACACACACACACACACACACACACACACACACACACACACACACACACACAGCAACAAGATCTGTTGCAGTATCATTCAAATGTCAAACCGCCACACACTGGCAAAAGGCTGAACTGCCAGGAAGCAGAACAGTTCACAGTTTAAATGTCTGCAGGGAATTAAAAAGAAACCACTGCTAGTGTCCATGTTCATGCCAATTCACTGACACAGGGTCACAAAAGACCAACAATATAGCATGATTGATTAATTTAATGATTGAGTAATAAAATTACTGTGTTTTGTAGATTGGGCGTTCCACAGAGAGTCCCATCGACTTTGTGGTGACTGACACAGTAGCAGGAGGCCAGGAGGGAGAGGAGACTCCCATCACACAGAGCACCATCTCCCGTTTTGCCTGCCGAGTTGTCTGTGAGCGCAACCCCCCCTACACTGCTCGCATCTATGCAGCCGGGTTTGACTCCTCCAAAAACATCTTCCTAGGGGTAATTACTAGTTAGTGTACAATGGTAGATATACAGTATCTTTATCTACACTGATGTCTTCTGTCTTTGTAACCACATAAACAAATGCAAATTCTGTTATTTGTAATGTTATGCAAAAAAAGTTGAATGCGACACAGCACATCAGTTTGCATCATCATCTGTGCTCTGTGTTGCCTACAGGAAAAAGCTGCAAAATGGAAAAACCCTGACGGTCACATGGACGGCCTAACAACCAATGGCGTGCTGGTAATGCACCCCAGGGGTGGATTCACAGAAGAGTCCAAGCCCGGCGTATGGAGAGAAATCTCTGTTTGTGGTGATGTTTATACACTAAGAGAGACTCGCTCAGCACAGACCCCAGGCAAACTGGTCAGTATCTTCAAACACAGAGACTACATATACTGTGACATAACTGAAGCACATGTTTCTCAAGTCACACATCCTGTTACGATGATGATGATCACATGAGTGGCATAAGCATTCTTTGTTTTTATTGCGAAGTTGAACTAAATCTGTCTCTGCTACATCACCACCTGCAGGTGGAGAATGAGAGTAATATACTGCAGGATGGCTCCTTGGTGGATCTTTGTGGAGCTACTTTGCTGTGGCGTACAGCAGAAGGCCTCTTTCACACTCCCACCCAAAAGCACCTGGAGGCTCTCAGGCAGGAGATCAACGCAGCACGGCCCCAGTGTCCTGTAGGTCTCAACACCCTTGCCTTCCCAAGCATGCAACGCAGCCGCGCCCTCTCCTCCCTGGAGGACAAGCAGCCTTGGGTGTATTTGGCGTGTGGCCACGTGCACGGTTACCACAACTGGGGCCACCGTTCGGAGCAGGAGCCCAACACTCAGCGAGAGTGTCCCATGTGCCGGGTGGTGGGGCCCTATGTACCACTGTGGCTGGGCTGTGAGCCGGCCTTCTACGTGGACACAGGTGCACCCACACACGCCTTTGTGCCATGTGGACACGTGTGTTCAGAGAAGTCAGTCAAGTACTGGGCGGAGATCCCTCTGCCCCATGGCACCCACGCCTTCCACGCCGCCTGCCCCTTCTGTGCCACCCAGCTCAGCCTCACTCAGGGCTGTTCCAAGCTAATCTTCCAGGGCCCGGTGGACTGAGCTGAAGGGTCCTGCTCTGGCAGAGAAGATTAGACAGGAATGCCAACATGCTGTGAAACTGTTCAGATTATTTTGTGCTTTCTTTTGTTCATGTAAGCCAGCTGTGGAAAGGAGTAAGTCTTCTCAACTTCTGGTCATATGCTGTGGATTCTACACAACAGAGAGCCATTACAGATTGTTCAGGGCCTCTTGTGGCTGTTTGGATGGCCACTGTGGGATACTGAGATGTGGAGCACACTGGACCACAGATCCCTGGCTCTGCCAGACTGAAATACTGTTTCAGCTGTCCTGCCAACCAACCGCTTTAAACAGGGCTCCAGCACTGAGCTGTTTAAACTACAATGCCTGCTGGTTTTCCATCAGAGGGCCGTAGGATTAAGGTTGTAGGAGGAATGAATCGTTTTTACTCATGAATCAAACTGAACCAGATAATAGTGAGCAGGTGTAGTTGGGTCTGTTGGGGGAAAATGGGGGAAGGTTTTATAGGCTAGTTCCTGGAGGGTCTGAGACAAAGTTTTTACAGAGCCAGACAGCTGGACTGTTGGCTGGGAGAAGCCAAGAGAAACTTGCGATCTAATGGCTAACTAGTTAAGTGTTCCCCATTGGCCTCTTGGCCTTAACCGCTAATGGCATCTAGATCATGTAGCTCTCCAGAGATGGCTTCCATTTGCTGAACAAACTTTAAAGGGGGTGGGGGGGTATTTTTCATTAACTGTGGGAATATTTTTCATAAATGAGAAAAGCTATTTTGTTGAAGGCAAAGAGAGAGTTAGTTTTCCATACAGAAGACATAAGGAAATGACAACCCACATGGATTCTTCTCCACGTTTTTATCTGACAGAAGAGGTATTTTACTACACTGAGGCCCTTGTACTTTTTTGTAATGCAAATGTTAATATATTTTTCTCCTGCATAAATAATATGTGTGTGAGAATGTTTGTGAGTATGTGCGTACATGTGTGATTGTGTGTGCGGGTTGGACTGTGTGGGTGCCCTTGGGCTCTTGTCTTCATCACCCTACATCATTTCACCCCAATCCCCTCTCCATGATCTCGCCCACCACCCAAACCGCTACCAGAGAGAACACAGGAAATAAACCAAGCTCGCAGGGTGTGACAATGAATGTACTGAAACACATTGACTCTCCTCACTGGTGGTGCTTCAATTATACAACTCTTTCTCATTGGTGTTAAAGGTACAGGTAAGGCCTATTTGCAGTGAAAGACTAACATTGGGACTGTACAACCTTATGCCATAACCACACCTGCTTGCTAGCCTGCTAGCTTGCTATGTCCCTACCCCACACATGTACTGTATTCAGTCTGCACTGTTGTTAGCTTTATCCCATGCTGGGTCAGATCCAATGATTTATACGCTCTCAAACCTGGGCACAGTCTCAGCAGCATCCAGAGATTATACCAAATATAAGGAGGAGCTGTTTTCTCTCCACATGCAAGATGTAAACCCAAACTGCTGCTATGGTGGAGTGTTGACAGCTCTGGATTACAGTCAAGGCTGTTCAGTTGCACGCACCAGCTCCATGGGAATAATGATATTATCATACCCAATGCCAAATTTGGTAAGTTCTATTGTATGTGGATGAGTCAAGTTGTCCACAACAAAGTAGCAGATGAATTGAAACTAAAGAATCGGGGACGAATATGTGCATTCTTCTGTGATGTTAGCCTGCCAGACTGTGCCCATTGACTACATCAAGTAGTCAAAGGCATTCATTCTGCCGATACTTTATCAATTACAGTAGTGAGCATTAAAATGATGAGATGTTGACAGTCATGTTTCTATTATAGCATTCAAATGTTCTTCCAAGTATGATGAATAAAATTCAGAGGTATTGCTGAGGGGCAGAATCCACCATGATTAAGGGCTCCTAGACTTCACAACAAAGATAAAATCTCAACAGCAGTGGTGGACTGCTGGAGTATTTTTGTTTTTGGTTCCTTCCTAAGAGAAACATACTTTGCATTCTTAAAAAGTATCAGCAGCATTACGCTTCGCTCATACCACAGAGCATTTCCGGATCACTTGATTTCCTCAGATTTTATGTAACTGCCGCGCAGGGTCAAGTACCAAGCCGCATACTGTACAGTAGCATTCCTTTCAAACACTTTCAGCTCAAACACTGTGCCCGTTGCTTCAGACCGTGTTCTGTAACAGCTGCAGAGTAGCTGCCTCAAACATTCCTCCTTGGTAAACATGGGTGGGGCCCTCAGTTCACCCAAGGGCTTGTTCTATGATTTTGTCTCCTACAGGAACTCTGTACACAAGCCATAGAACGCACTGATGCTCCCAATGCCTCTTTTGCAAAGAATAAAAATATTTTTTAAAAATATGCTAGAGTGAGTTGGTTGTCTCTCTGATTTCAGGCCTGACAGTCTGGTAAAAATTTACACTTGTCGGTAATGTTCTGGGACACTGAGGCAATTTCAAAATGATCCACTGATTTTTAAAAAGGTATGTGCAGTTGATAAGAATTTGCTCCTTTTTATTCATCTACTGCCTTTGAACTCCAGATGTCTCCGCTGTGTTCACACAACACAGCAGCTGTAATGTTTAATCACAGTTACATATGTGTTTCATCATTCCTCTGTATGAGCATTGCTCTTCTATCTTGGTCGCCAAAATGGCCCTGAATATTGATAGCTCTATCAAACACATTATTTTTTCTTTTAGATAAGGGGAAGAGTTTTCTTGAAGTCTATTTTATTCACATTTCATGTTCTATCTTATCAACCTCATCTTAATATTTACCATAAGAAATGATAGCATGAGTAACGTTCCCTGGTGTTCTGAGCAAGGTGTAGTTTCCCTTTGAAGCCACAGGAGGGCACTATTTCCTCAACAATAGAGATGTTGGCACTACGGGCACTAAACCTCTGTGCCTGCGGCAATCAAAAGCCAAAAACACAGAGCAAAGAAATGGAAGTTTGATGGTTTTTTTTAATGGAAAAGACTAAAGTATAAATACATCCCAAATACATCTGAAATGAGATAAATTGAATTAACTAAATTGACATGCGTGTACAGTATATATGCCCCTGTGAAAATCCTCTGTATGTGCAATTAGGCTACCAGAGGAGATGTATGTAGGCTATATATTTAAAGTTAGACATTTATCTTCTGCATTCCATATGTCTTTGTTTTTGCATATTTTAAAATTAATTATACTGTTCTTAGATTTATTTCCAGATTTATTTAAATCCAGGCATCGTACATAAAACATGCCTGATAAATATGCACAGTTGTGAGCAATTTTTAGCTTTTATTTTTCTGTAGATGCAAAAAATATTATACGATGATGATGACAATTTCCATCACTTGCATGTGACTTCATCTCCTCTATAATAAGGGCACATGAAAGGGATTTAAATACATAACATGTCAGTTAGGCGTTTGGAGAGGAATGGAGCTGTGGGATGCCATGCTTCCTAATTAACATTTCTGCAGTAGATGTGAGATGGGTTCATATGTCTGCACACTTGCCTGTTTTTCTGAATGACAGAAAAGACACTGAAGGTGACAGCATGCTAATTTTGAGATCGCTCGGTGGCTCCCCTGCCTTAAGCAGGGCAGGGTTATGCAAATAAAGTGCAATGATACAATTTTTTTTTTTTTTCTTGAACCAGCTTCCTGGATGAGAAACTAATGTTCATGTGCTATGCTGATGCTGAGCTTTGTAATAGATTGACATGAACCATAGTACTCTATTATCACCTTTCTGATCCTAATTAACCTCTAACAGAGAACCCTTTACACAGCCACAGAACTTAATTTCGCAGGATCATATTTCAGCTGCGTTCATATTTATACTGGAAAGTTTGTGTTTGGATAAATAACAGGTTATTTAGCTGAGGCTATGCTACTAAACAGAAGTCGAGAGGGAGATGATGTTTTCAGGCTCCTGACAGCCTCAGTGTGGCTGCCCAACCCAAGACCCACCCTGCAGGATCAAAGCAGTATAGGGGGAACACAGCCAATGATCATCCCTTAAAAAATTCCATATCTTGTTCACTGAATCTGGACAGATCTGGAAAATGACACATCAGATGTGCAGCTATGTCATTTGGCCTGACAACTTCCTTATGGAGTAAGTGAAGTGTGGAGAGATCATATGTTAATGATGTACACTTTAGTACTGCACTTCTATAAAGTTGGAGATTCACAAGAGACTAAAAGGATAATCAAAATACCCTGATACCCTGACCTTTAACTCCTACAGAATAACACAGGCTCCAAAAACACAGAATCCTAAAATTCCCATAATGCAACTTAGCAGCACTGTTATCACTAGCTGAGCAGTACTCCTCAGTGTAAAGCCACCTGTGTAAAATCAGTGAAGCTCCCCTTTAAGGAGTAATGTGTCTTTCACAAAATTAATAGCATAAAAAGACAGTTACCTGCAGAGTCATAATGGTGCAATAATATTATTATTTGAGAATTACTGGCAAAACTTCAAAATAATGGTGCTGGCTGGTTGCTGTCAGTATTTACTCTATTACAGCTGGTTCTTAAGCTCAGTTGGAGGACTACAGTCTGCTGTGTGAGTGAGCTAGACCTGACAACAACACACATTATATTGGAATAAAATGTGTTATTTATTTATATTGGATGTCCAATAGTTGACTGTAACCCAGCTGTTGCCTTCAACTAGCTGCATTTAAAGGGTTCATTCTAAGTTTTATGTGTTTCTTTGCGTCCTGTCTGCCCTGAGACCTAACATGTGAAATGCCACAGGTGGCTGCGGGCTGTGTGCCAAACTATCAGCAGGACACCTTAACTGGCAAGTTGAAGGCTGTGATATTTACCTCAATTACCCAGCGTGCCACTGGGGTAAATTATATGCAGATCATCATCTGTAAATGGCAGATAGTGCTCTTCTGCTCACGTAAATAAAGGAACAGCACATACAACAAGACACATTTGTCTCCCTGGTTTTTTAGTATAGTAAACTTAGCAGTGTTCTTCTTTATTTATCTCCCGACACATTGGACAGTCATGTCACGTTGGCGCATGTTGGACGCTGCTGTTAATTCCTCACTATTTCTGTATTGTGTGGTTTGTCACTATTTGATAGGGAGACTGTTTTCCTCACTTAGACACACAGACTGCACTGATATTTTGCTTTAGGTTGGGTCTACATTTCTTTATCCAGGCCCAAGGTCAAACACCTCACACAGGACTAACACACACTTTTAGCAGTTTGATCTTGACAAATGAAATCATCACACTTTTTCTTGGTATTTTTCTGCCTTAGCTTTGAGCAAGGTTTGTGGCAGTAACATTACACAATTCAAAGCTGTATGCAGTGCAGTTTGAAGAGGATTACGATTATATCAGGCCTATTTACTATTTCATGTGGCTCTTGATGATACTTTGTACTCAGCCTACTCAGCTTATTACTTTCTCAATGAATAACAAATGAGTTGTCAAATAAAAGGCAAATAAACACAGGCTAAAGAGAAGCTGATACAAATATTTTATTAGAACATATGAGGGGAAAATAGGTTTGGAAAATCAAGCATTAAATTCAAACATTAAAGTGGGACAGAGTCTACCTCTTTGAGCCCCTCATGCCCTCGTTCTCTCATCTGCTCTTACAGAGGCACATGTGGCGTCTTGCCTACTCATCCAAACAAGGGGACAAATTACTTTAATTATGGAGTAATTGCAGTCTTGTGTTAATTAAATCTTTATCAGTTCAAGTAAGTGGATTGCTCCCACATGGAAACCATGCAGCGACGTGCTGTCTTGCTCTTCCCCCCTCCTGCTCTCTGTCTAAATTTCCAGTCTGAGACCGTCTTTTATTCACAGTCTCACCCGATTCTCCCTCTCCCTCACCCCTGGGTCTCGCACTGAAATGACTGGGATTAGCGTCATTTGGGGGAGGGTGTTGTTTTACCAACTCTGTTCAGTAGCCAGCTGTTTCTTAAAAATACCATAACAAACATGATAGCACTGGTGCGAGGCAGTGTCCTCCGCTGGAAGATGAGATACAAGATTTATCTTAGGTTCCTGGTGTTTGACAAAATTGAATCCTCTCATTTTAATTGCTCTCGACTAGGTGTGCTGCTCCAGGCGATGGAAACAGGAGCTCTGTATGTTGTCCCTTGTTCTCTACAGACTATTATGTTCCATTGTGCAAAATGCCGATTATGATTTGCTTTATCCTTGTCATCTATCTTATTTAGGATCATTTAGGTAGCCACATGTTACAAAGGAACAGCAGTCAGCCTTGTTATTACGTGTGTTTGAGTCCCCTGCTTCTTGTAATGAGAACAGGATCACAGAGGAGAATTAATCTCTCTGAAGACTTATTCACTGGTTCAAGGCCTCTCTACATGTACGTTTTTATAGAAAATGCAAGAAAATTGGCTTGTTTTGTTGACTTCCAATGGCCTAGCATTTGATCCAAGGTTTGGAATATTAATGCAAACACTCTTCATGCGTCTTGCAGCTTTCGCTCCGCAGTTTTTGTCCTGAATATTGCTCCATGTTTTTCTGAGTTAGAGGACAGGGTGACATTTTTGCATGATAGAATGTAGTGGATCCCCAGAGTGACTTGGCTATGAACAAGCTTATGACACAAAACATCCCAAACTTCATTGTCATTAGCTCCAGTAGAACCACATTTGCAAATCTAAATGATTATTTTCACAGCCGTATCATAATGTGCCTACACTCTTGTACAGTCATATTTTCATTTTATTGTTTGAACCTTTATTAATCCACTGAAAATCAGTCAAGCACTGTTGTTCTTTTGCACTGCCTGCTTCACACTTGCACAAATGCAGAGCTTTTGATCTGTTAGCATCTACAGTATGCACATTTTGGCTTGTGGACACTGTCAGCAAGCAGCTGTTTAGTGGTGAGAATGTTTATGTGACGATGAACGGGTGCAATATGGCTGTGAAGCAGATTCAAAAGGGCTTAACTGGATTACACCTCATTTCAAGGATGCTTAAGGTAAGATTAAAACAGATATGTGGTAAGTGAGGAAAATACAAAATCAAATAGATTGAATTTCACTCAGTGGTCTCATAAGCCACTTGCTCATGCATGGCTGTCCTGTTTGTATTTGTGAGTTCAAAAAAAATCTGCAAAAAAAAAAAAAAAAAGCGAGACAATATGTAGATTGTTCCTGTAAAACAGACTCAGCAAAGGAACCATACACACATTTGAAACAACAGTTTTGCTCTGTTGGACCATCACAATTCACCATTAATGCCCTTTCTTATCTCATGCTACAAATCCCCAGAGCTGGAACATTAGAACTCCCTAATCACACACACTGGCACATACTAAGTGTGTGTACATGCACTGTGGCACCATTCACGCACAAACACACATACACAAAATCACACACCTCACATATAATCTGAAAAGATAATGAATTTAATACCACTGCTGTTACAGTCAACTAATGTTTGTTAATAGCCTGGTGCCATATGGAACGAGGGCCTCAACCATGTGGGTAATTCCCCTTTTTGGACAAGCTGTCAATAAAAGGGCCTTGCATTTTCTGGATGCATGGGGTAGAGGGGGGAGGCTTGGAGGATGTGCTTAATCCAGCAGACTCTCTAATGATCCCCCTGCCTCGAATGGGAGCCACAGGCCTCTGTCAATATGCTTGCAGCTGTGTTTTATTTCTCCTATCAGAGCTAGAATATGTGCTCATATTAAAACTCCATTGAGCATTTGTGTATGTGTGTGTGTATGCTGTACAGTTTGTCTGGGCTCAAGACTTTGGTTTTCTGTGTGGTGCGGGGAAATGGAAGTGGTAGTTTTAGAGAGAAGACTTTATGACGTGCCTGATTACCCCCCCCCGCCACCTCCCTCCACCTCCCCAAATTCACTGCATCTCCTCCCCATATCCCTCTGCCAGCACTGCAGCCCAGCGGATAACCAAGCGTGGATTAGCAGTGACATCACACTGAAGAGATGGCTGAGCCCGAGTGTGAGGAAGGGTGAGTACTTGGGTGTGTGTATGTGTGTGTGTGTGTGTGTGTGTGTGTGTGTGTGTGTGTGTGTCAGATGGGTGTGAGCGTTATGTGTGTGTTCAAGACTGATTAGACGGCGAGGGTGGTGGTGAGAGGGAAGCGAGGATTAGAGAGCCATCTGAGAGTTGGCTAGGTGCTGACACCACTCCACCTCACCAAGGGCTCAATTTACTGAGGGATCAGACTCATTTATAGTGGGCTGGGATTATTATCAGTTCAATAGGGCAATTTCTTTATTACAGTCACCTATCAACCTGTGAAATATGGACACTTGTGAGACATTTATGAGTGCATGTATCTTGTTTCAGTTATAATCTAGTGCTTTTCTGCTACAATTTATGGTATATGAGCATCAGGTAAGCTCTACAATGATAATGTTTAAATAAAATAGTATTACTCTTACTACGGGATCTAAATGTAATTTTCAGAGGGAACTTAAAATGTCTCTTTAGACAGGCAGAGTACAATAAAATTGCTCTTTATTTGTTTTTTTTAGGAAAAGCTGGTCACAATAAAACATCTATTAGGAATTTCAGACAAATCCATCCATCATACTTCAACTCCTGGGAGGTTTAAGAGGGCTGTGGTGACTATGGCATTTTTTTTTTTTTTTTTTTTTTTAAAGGCTCCAAATCGGATAAGGCAGGCAGCTATGTTTGAGTTTGGGTTTACCTGGAATGTCAACACTCTTAAGCTGGCCCTCTGAATTGAACCCCTTGTAATGCATTGAGCATCACTCACCTGATTCTTCAACAGCACAGCCCACTGGGAAAACAGGTTTCGGCTGCATCTGAGACAGAACAATGGTGGATAGAATGAAACACATTTAAGACCAAGCCTTAACCCAGAAATGAAGGAAGTGGCGGCTGTGCCATTGAGTCAGGTTTTCTAACTTGAGCGAGACCTGCTGTGCAGAAGTCAAAGACTACTTTCTCTCCTTTAATGGTTCATAGTTTGTATGTGAAATGACACATGGTAAAATGAGGGACGCAGACATAAATATTTTATAATTAAGACTGTAAGTTCACTCTTGACCTCAGAAACAGTAGCTGACCACAAAATATCTCATCACAACGTCCATTTAGTAGTTCTACAGCTTTTGATCGTATCACATAAACCTCAGCAGGGGTTTTGCTGTCATAATAAAATATATAATAGGAAACGTTCAAATTTACATTTCTCTTAAGATTGTAAGTTCATTTTGACTTTGCAAACAACAGCTGACAAAATGTATTAGTAGCTATATTATTATGTCTGTAGATACTTTTTAAACTCGAGCACACGCTTGAAAAACAAACCTGCAAGATACAAGTGTATAAAAATTAAGATAAAGAAGCACAAACATGAAACAAATGAACAGGCTTTTATCGTTATTGTTTTCAGTTGATTTTTCACAGAAATCGTTTTGCTTGAGCGTCGCAGAAAGTAGTTATAAACCCTCCCCCAGTCTGTCACGTGAACAGAGGTGACGAGAGAAATCTCAACGCTTCATTCCTGAATCACAGTGACTAAACAAGGAAGTACAGTTTTCGCAGGTAACACGTCCGAGGAAAAAAACAGTCGACTTCCACCGCCGCATCTCACCTAAACTGTTATATCCAGTAATCATTGTACAAACAAATAAATCACAACCACTTCAGTCTAACTTTGAAGAGTGGCGCGTCCGGTAGTATCGCGAGTTTTGCTCGTCGGCGAGAATTCGGTGTTGCTACTTTCCCGGGAAAAGAAACGTGTCAATTTAGCTAACTCTCAAGCCAGCATACACGAAACCGCAAACTTAAGACTTAAGAGTTGGCCCATTGACTTCGTTGAAGCTGTAGTCTGACATCGATTTTCAGGTAACTGGTTGCTACCGAGTCCTGCTGACACTCTACAGCCAGAAATGTATGGATGCTTGTGACGTTAGCTCGCTAGTTAGTCGACATTAGCTAGCTGTTGTTTGAAAACTATCTGTGTTTATCCAGGAATAAAAATGTCCGCGGAGAAAAGGACCAGCTGGATTCTGACTGGTGCTACGGTCGCTTGTGTCACGGCTTTGTATGTGCCCTGTGTCCAGAGGACTGTCCCCGGTGGAGACTCAGGTTGGTGCTAGCCCGCTATAGCTAAATGCTTCTCTGATCATGTGGCTTTGTTGTGTTGCCGGGCAGCCAATCGTGTGGCGCCTTGGTGATGTAGCTGCTGCAGCTTTACTGGTGCTGTCCGTGGTGCTGCAGGTAGGCTGCTGTACATCAGATGAAAAATCCAAACTTCTACCAACATGATACACAAGAAGTTTTCAGGAACACAACGTACTAAAACCCACAAACTCAAAAATTCAGTTAGGGAGACTTTTTAATTTACTCAATAATCCCAAATTTGATCAAGTCAATGAAAGGGCGCCAATAGCTCAAACAGCAGCACTGTTTGTTGAAGGCAGAACATAATGTAAACAACTCTGCATTTGGCTTTTACAGTAAATTAATTTGAGAGTAAATGTCTTATAAATAGAACAAACAGCACTAAAATGTTTCAAATTTTCATAACTGAATTGCTCATGATTTGAGAATTATTTTGTGTTTATTTTATTGTTTTATGTTTTTTATTGTCTTTATTAGTGTGACTGTCAAATTGTCTTTAAATGTTGGCGACAGTGCATAGATACATTCTATGTTTTAGATGGAATTCTGTGGCACTAGAAAGTATGTGAGAGGGCTTTTAATGATGAAAAACAGAGATTTCACCCACTGGATTAGCATAAATTTAACATAATTTTAAAGACTTAATTGTATATTTGATATATCAACATAGAGATTATGCTATGATGATTATCAAAAAACTGTTGTTGCTCATAAAGTTATTAGAAAGTTTACCTTGTCCAAATTTTTACCCTGTTACACATCTGCAAGAATGCTCCATCCAAGCCACGAGGAGAAATATAGTAGAGCATTATTTCTTTTACTGACTGCACTTCTATGGTGGGAAATATAGACACCATTTGTAATGACAAAGCATTGTTGACAGCCCCTGACTCACAAAATAATCCATCTTGTTTGTTTAAATTCAAATTATATGTGTATGCATAAATTTAATTTGCACTTTTCTGTAACAAGGCTCAACAGTGGACCCACATGTATTTCACTCAGTACCTTCCTATGTGGTAGGCCAATGTGTTTTCCAACATTCTTGTAATGCAGTTTATGAAGGAATGCCTTGCACAATTACAAACAGTGTTTAGAAGTGATAGCAAGGTTACAAACTTGTAAATGTGGACTTGAGGGCATGAAGGCTCTGCTTGTTAGGTTTGCACTGCTGTGGCATACAAGTTGCTGCGGAGAGGAATGCACATTTTGCAGAATGAAAGCATATGAAAAGCTCGGCCAGATATGAGTGAGCAGAGACGAGGAGAGAGCAGGCAATTGGAGCGCTGAGTAGCCCTGCTGGTTGTGCTGCTGTCTAGCGAACGGGGCCTTTGAAAAAATGGCCAGCCCCTTCTCCACAGTGTTTAGGGACGGTGCAGGATGCCCGCTCTGATAGTGCCAGCTGAACACCCTTCTGAATTCTCCAGGTCTCCGTCTCTGTGTCCTAATCTCTTTAGGTGTGATGTGCCCTGGAGAGGCATGAGCGCAGCCCCGCGGGTACGCTGTTGTCTAGGAATGTGGAGTGTGGAAATGATGGGGATTATGGGAAGACTGGTGTGGGTGCCCATGCTCCACTATCACAAAGACTCTTGGCACCCGTGCTGCTACCCCGTTGAGTCAATATTTTCCATTTTTAGTATTGGGGCTGCAGAACTCCATCTCTGTGGCACTGAGATGGATGTTTTGGCTCAGTATTAGTTTGAGTTTCCATGTTGAATGGTGTAAAAGTGTGCCACTACTGAGGGAAAATGAGTGAAATTGAGAAACCGATGAAGGATGAGAAAGTGTGATGTAAAATGATGGCAGGTAGCTGGCGGCTCATGCCAGGTGAAATGGAGCTGTGAAAACATTTAAGCTGTGCAGGTGGAGGAGTTCTGACTTCATGGTCCATTAGACTGATAAGAGTTAGGGCTCCTCATGTGGCAGAAATTTAGGCATCGTAATTCACTGTATCGGCAAGGTTGCAAAACACACGAAGCAGCCAATGCCACCTGAAATTCAGCCTCTGTGTTCTATAACGGTTGGTACGGCTTCATGGCCCATGTTCTTGCTCTTCAAATGTAAGTTTTTATTTGTTTATTTTTAATATGGAAAAACACTTGCAGTTTCTTCGATTTAAAATAAGCAGCTATATTCTGTTGCTGTTGCTAATGTTGTTCGATTTGCTCTGAGCCAGTCTGATGTGTAACACTGCAGATTGATTCATTTGAACCTTATTTAAGAAAACTTAAAAAACTTTAACCTTTTAATGTATTTTTTTTCTTATACTTTATGTAGTGTTCAATTAATTTACTAGGTATTCTACATAGTTTGGATGCTGGTGAAGTAATAGACTGATTATCCTGTCAATGTTGATGCAGGAAAAGGCCACAGTTTCATTGGCTGTACTGGATAGAGGAGGTGACTACCCACCTAGTACCAGTAGAGGGAGCTGTCTTGAACCCAAACATTTATCAATGTCATTTAATCTGAACCAAATTTCAATTTTCATGAGTGGGAGATGCAAACATTGGGTGAGAAATCAGTATAATTTGAAACGCTCTGGGTATATTCTGGCACAAATGGGTTTGTGCCCAGATACATTAAAGCTTCCTGAAACAGCTTTTAGGGGTTTTCTTTTCACTTTGTGCTGTGCCTCACACAGAGCTTGTCAAAAAATTGTGCAACCGGCTCTTATTTTTACAGCTTACCTCATTCTGTGACTGTCACCAACGTTGCCTTTCTGTTTGTGCCCAACGGACTAAACGAGACATTGAGACACTGGGAGTGTGGGAGCAAGAGAGAAGCACGTAGAACAGCAGAAGAAAAAGGAAGGGAAAGGACCCTGATGCATGGGGAGGATGGGACTGGAAGCATTATTCTCAGATCAGCATATGTGTGTCTTTGTGTGACAGAGCATTGGAGAGGGAGTCTAATGGTTTGTGTGTGTGTGTTTATATCTGTGTGTATGTGCTGGAGAAGGGGAGGGAGGCATCAGGGGAGAAGCGAGAGATGAAGAGAATGAGCGTGCCGCTTAGGAAATGTCACACTGGGAAGATTTGCAGGTTTTGATCCTGGCAAATTAATGCAAAACCCCAGTGCAAGTATTTGATTTGGGAAAACTTTGGGAGCAGACTTGTCTCTTAATAATAATTATTGGGTTTACATTAATTTCCTCCCCTATTCTCTTCCACAGGAGAGCTGATCACCACTGCTTGTGAGCTGGGGGTAAGTATTAGCCGTATTGTTTAATCAATTCACTCATTAACTTTTATAAGCATTAAGGAAGTTTAATTAAGCATGGGCAGAAAGCAGATTAATTTACTTTCAGTCCACAGGTTTTCCCCCCTTCTTTTCTATACACTTATTTTACTAAGTTGCAAATAGAGAATGCTATAATTTGCAACCCGTTTTTCAAATCCAATTAAAGTCAATGGTAAGGCGATGGCTTTTGTAGGCTTTGCCTTATGTACGGTATAAGGCTTATTATATCCACCCCTCTTTTTTGTGTGTGTGTGTAAGCCGCGAAGAATGAACTAAATCGGGTTAACAGTTATAATAAGTTTTATTATTTAATAAAGTTTATTACGCCGCTGTGATCCTTTTAGGGAGGCTGTGTCGGTGTCACTATGCCAGTAATCCTGCTGTTAGTGCTGCAGTCCGTGTGGCCTGCCTGTCTGCCTTTCAGGCCTCCCCAGGGCCTTGCAGGCCGTCCCTGGGCCCCAGGCTGCTGGCCCCCCCTTCTGATCCCCAGAGCTCTAGAGTTCTGCTTCCCCTTGCTCCCTGTGGCCTTTGTCCCTCAGCTGTCCTATAACTGCATATCTGTCCACTCCTGTTGGCCACACAGTCCTTCTTCAACATGCTCATGTTCCTATAGTAGAGTTACCTACCTGTCTGACAATGCTACTTAGTTCACTAAACCGTCAGCAACTGCTGAGTTGCTATCCTTTTCTTTCTCTCGTTCTCTGCTTCACTTCTTCTCTTCTCCTGACCTACACATTCCATCCTCCACCCCTCTCTCAGATTTGGGCGAAGTTATTATACTGTAACCAAAGAGCTTTTGCTGTGTTTGAGGTGACCGGTGAGGTAGTCACACTCTCACCTTTCAGCTCTGTGTTCATTTGAAGAGCTGCCCCTTCTCCCTGCCCGCATGGCTTGTGTTATCAGTGCCAGGGAATGAGTCTGTGTTTAATGACTGAGCCCTTATCTGGGTGGAGGAGACTTAGCGGCTAATTGCTGTGATTGCTGAGATCCCCCAGGCGAGAATGACTGCGGCTTGGAGGTGGTTTGGGGGCCGGGGGTGGCGAGCACCACGTGCTCTATCACAGGCTCTAGGGAGCTGCACTGTCCTTGGGAAGAGGCCAGAGGAAAAGAAGTGAGAAGAGGGAAGAAGAGAGGGAGAGGAGGGCTCTGGTATCATAGCAGAGTCAGTTTGCGGTCAGTCTGGGCGGGATGAGCCTCACTCTTCACTGTTGCTGTAGCTCTACAGCATGCCTCTACTGGCGTCTACAGGAGGCAGAGGAGCAACTAGATTTGCAACTTAATCACAAAAGGCCACTGATTTAAAAACTGATTTTTTACTGCTCTTTATCACCATCTGTTTTAATCTTGCTCAGTGGTCACCTCTTATATTATTTTTCTAGCTTTGTATTCTTCTGTCTCTAGTACTTTTCATTTCTCCCATATCTTTGCAAAACAACGTACCACATGTGCACGTCCACCATCTCGGCCTCCTGCAGAGCACATCAAGCACATCTTCGATAAAACATTACCTGCTTTATGTGCTGTTCTCTCATAGCCTCTTGCGTGAATGGATTTGGGTCACTGGCTTTGTCATTGTGTGTTTAGGTGGCTCATCCTCCAGGATACCCTCTCTTCACCCTGCTAGCTCGCCTGGCTATGTGTGTCCTGCCATCACTCTCTGTAGCCCACAGCGTCAACCTGATGGGTAGCCTGTTGGGGGCTGCAGCTTGTGGTGCCCTCTGCATAACTGTCTGCAGGTAGGCACAAGAAAATATAATATATATAATATAATATGTTTTTTCACAATATATTGATGTGTTTGTGTTCTTCTGTCCTGCCATTGCTGTGCTTTGATTTAAGTGAATGTATGAGGAGTAAAACTAATCCCCAAAGAGAGCATTTTTGTGGATTAGTTCTTTCATGATTGTCTTCTACAGATTTATGTCACAAAGTCATGCTTGTATTTGCATGTCTCAAACTCAGATTTCAGGGAAGTACAAAGTAGCCCTCCCCCTTCAGCAGAAGAGCCTTCTGGTGACTAACACACGCATCAGTCTGTAGAGTAAAAGTCAAATATTCAAGGGAAGTTACAATAGGAATTTTTGAGAGAAGGGCCCCTTTAAACATTTCCCTACTGACTTTTTGCGTCTTGATGCTGTCTGGAACAGGGGGTGGTATTTTTGGGTCCTGGTGGACAGGCAGTGACGTCCCTGATCCTCTGTTCAGTATTCAGGAGCAGGGCCCAGCCGCCCTCCTCTCTCCCACCACCCTGCCCTGCCTGTTTACCCATCAGCCACCCGTTGTGAGAGTGCGTGTGTGTGTATGTATATCACAATTATCGTACCCTCCAGCACCCACCCCGGCGTCCCTGTTCTCCTGCTCCCCCACTGCCCAGCATGCTCCCAATCCTGACATGGCACGATTTCTAATCTCCCCCTTCTTGCCTCCTGGGTCTTAGAGGAACAGGATCACTAACTCCGCTCCTCCCTCTCCCCTCTCTTTAACCACCTCTCCCCTCACTCAGTCATGAGCACAGTTTACGGTCTCTGCATTGCCATCTACCACCCTGCAGTTTCGCCTGCTGCTGACCCCATCATGTAAGGAGTATTTTACCCTTTCCCTCTTTGTATGTGTGTTTATCTCGCATGGTTGGCTGGACTACCTTACATCACCCTTTTGCTGATCTTAGTGATTTTCCACATTGCATTGTTGATGGCAGCTTAGTGTCAACATTTTTCCTTTTTGTCAGTGTTTATGCATACTGGGGCATTTCCAAGCATGTCATATGCTTCTGATTTACTCTTCCAGAATAGGAATTGTTGAATATGATGTAATTTCTACCTGCTGTAGACCATGGCAGGCTGTGAGGTCCCAGTGATAGTGGGGGGAAAGCAGGTGAAAATGAAGTTGTGTGTGATCCCAGGTGATCAGTACTGGGCCTACTTTCTGTGTGCCTGGCCAATGTATGTGGCAGGTGGTCTGTAGTAGGTCAGGGTACAGGGTCAGCCCTGCTGGAGTAGGGCAGGAGCTGGGAAGGAAATGCTCTCCAGGGGACTGGCCTTAAGCCCAGACTGCATCAGCCTCAGACCCTGTCGTGCCTTTCTGTTCTTCAAAGGTGAATCAAAATCTGCCAGCTTCAACCACTCTGCCCAGGACAGGTGAGAGGAAAAGAATAAGAAAGGACAAAGGGAAAGAATACTGTGCCTCTTTGGGGTTTTCCGGCTGTGTATCCCTACATCCCCCTAGTCTTAATGCATTTGATGAGTTACCAGTGAATTGCGGGATTGGACTCAGCTCTTGGCCAGACATTTACAGGCAGTTATTTTGAGGCCAGAAAATATCCATGCAGTCTGGGTGATATTTGGCTCCCGGTGTGCATGTTAACTGTAGCCCTTTTTGTAATCTCTGGGGATTTAGATCCAATTTTGGATTATGTTCAAGTAAAAAGTCATTATGAGGACCTCCAACCCCACCCATCCCCCAACAAGGGTTGATGGGTAGTGAGGACTTCAGCCAGACCACAGTCACACCATATAAGCTCTTAAGTATGAACATATAATCTATGCTTTCAATTTGAAAAATAAGCATAAAAGGTTTTAGTCGTTATCTTTTCAGGGCCTAGTTTGGGATGAGCTTGTGGCTGTGGATCAGCTGGCAGACTCTGCCTGGTGAGGGGTTACTGAAAAGGGCAGAATATGAGGGGGTGGGGGATTGGGGAGGTGGGGGATGGGGGTTCCGGATGGTCAAGACGTCCCTCTCGCTTCTGGCATGGAGGGCATTGGGTGCTTTGACCATACCGAGAAGATTGGCATAGATGTCTGGCCACGGCCCTGCAGGGACTCTCTGGCCAAGCCTTTCCCTCAGATGAAATGCCAAAACTGACCAGTTGACACCCGTTCATACCTGCTCTGTCCTTGTAGTGACACCAGTTTCCTCTGTCTTTTCCGAACAAAATGAAGTTCTGAAATGTCTTCTGTTGTTTCTGTCCCTTTGAGGCCCTCATAAACTTTTTCACTACTTCTTATTTTTGGGTTTGTATCAGCTGAGAAGTAGACTTTTTCCCCCAAACAAATCATCGCTTTGTGTGATTATTTTCAGATGGCAAAATGTAGTGAAGTTAATACGGGTACTTGAAGGCAGTTTCTCTCAAATAGTAAATTGTAGACCTTGAAATTCATCTGGAATATACCCAACATGGCAAGCCTTTGATGTATCAATTTAAATTAGTCGGCCAGATTGCCGTGTTTAATGTGGGGGAATGTAAGTTGATAGGCTTGGAAGCCACTTCTCTCTCTTGCGTAAGTTTAAATGTAGCACTTAGCCTCCCTTTGATTTGTCAATTACAGTTCTCTTGGCTTGATCATATGGTTTGATGGCCAAATTGCATGTCTTGTTATGTTTTCACACCATGGCCTGACAAGCCTTTGAGGATGGTGGACGTAATGATAATTACTATCGATTGCACTTGGAGGTTCACAGAAAGAAACATTTGGCCCGTGGAATGCTACAGGCCTCAGCCACGAATCTCTAGAGGAATGCACCCTTCATAGCGGGATAATCCAGACAGCTTGGTATTCTGCGCTCTCTCGTTTCACAGTTTATCTGCTAAAGCTGCTCTGAATCTCTGCTACCTGAGAGGAATCTCTCTCCATTCCTGGGCTTATCCTGAGAAACCAGGAGCAGACACGTTAGTGTGCTGACAGCCATCAGAGCAGAAAAACAACCTCGCAACGCTCAGTCATCAGCACTTTTTGTTTGATCACATGATTACATAACAGCACTGTTGAATCACACCAAACATGTCTGGCCTCTCCCTTCCCTGGCGGCCCTCGAAAGAAAAAGCACACCTGCGCGAGGCTCTTCCACCAAGAGCTGGCCCATGTGGCACAGCTGATACCTCAGTGGACCGGAGGGTGGGCGTGGTGCCATCCCCTGCCTTGTGCTACGTCCCCATCTCCTTATAAGGACCTCCACCATATGGTCCTGATGGCGCTTTCCCTCCTCGCTCAGGTGGGTTGTTTTTCCACAGGGGTGGAGTTGCGTGTATTTTGTTGGGATCATGTCAGGAGCAATGTGTAGGGGGATTGTTTTTTTTTTTTGTTTTTTTTTTTGGCAACCATTTGTGTCATTTTCTTTTCTTTTCTAGACATCTTGAGTGGAAGTTGTGATATCTTGGAAACAGCTGAATAGAGTTGTTTTGTTGGATAACGTTCTCACCTCTCCCTGTAGGTGGCAAGCCTGCCCCTCCCTCTCACATCTGCTATGGTCGGATAAAATCTTCTTCCCAAGTGGCAATAGAAAATACACCCATCCCTGTTTTCTTCTGAAAATACAGAGGGCAATTTTAGGTTTGTCTGTTAAAAAAGGCCCCAATCTCTGGACCTTTTGTTCCACTTTTGCAGTATCTCATCCTTCATATTGTAGTCCAACAGACCTCCTTTACTCCCCCCATCCTCAGCATGACCAATGGTTCCCCCAGGACTCATCCTCTAATACAGTTAAACAGATGTCTAATGAAGATGTTATTTCCTCATTACTGGCTACGGGATAGGGATAGAGAGGAGGAGGGAGGAGGGCTAGATAGACAGCAGAATACAGTACCAGTTTAATATTCCTTTCGCCCGTGGGCCCGAGATTGTGTCTGCCTCGGACGTCAATATTACATTCCTCACCCACCACAGGCAGTCTTAATAAGGCACCAGGCACGGAGACGGATCAGACTCGGCAATTACAATTCACCCAGAATTAGTTAATGGAATCTATACAGCAACATTTATATATCAGTGGTGTGTGCCTAATGACTTTGTTGGAAAAAGGAGCAATAAAAATGGCATTCAGTGAATTGCATAAACACAGGATTTTTCTAAATTGTTTTTTTTTTTCCCTCTTCCTGTAATTTTTGTGTGTTGGGTGGAGATTAAGATGGCATTCTGGGAGAAATTGTCATGTCAGTGGCTGCATTGTTTGAGCAGAATTGTGGTGATTAATTTTACACGCACTTGGAGCACTGGAGCGCTCTCCTGGAGGAGGGGTGTCTAAGCGGCAGAGCTGGGTCCCTTATTTACCCTCTGTGCAAGCAGTCAGCCTCCTCAACACACACCGGATGAGGCAAGAAAGAGAGAGAAGTGCCTGGTTTGGTGATTGGCTGGAAATTAGGCTGTGACAACTAATATTCAAATATACTGTTTTTATAATCGCATAGAAAAAGGGATTAGGGCTGGGCAATACTAGAAAAATTAAAAAAATATATTTTTCTTACTTCAGTATCAAAAATGTGACGATAATCTGGTGATGACCATTTGTTCTTTTGGAGGGTAATTTCACAACAAATAATTTTTATAAATGACCAAACAAGTAGACTTTCACTGGGTATTACAGTCAGTTAGAAAAGCAGAATATGTCCAGAATATATAATATGATGTACATAATGATATCAATAATATATCCATAAAATATTAGTTCGATTTTTTTTCCTGATATCATTATGTAGCACAATATGGGAAATTTCTGCTATATTACACATAAACTAACCAATGCAACAATATAGGTTCCACTGTCGTGCTCCTCACACATATAAAATAAAAACCTTAATAATATAATTTCCTTTCCTTAAAATGATCAATTTAAAGGGGGACTCCACTAGTTTAATATTGCACTTCCAAAAAGTCGGGACGACTTACAAGGGATAAATTTAGAATAGACAAGAATTGACTAAATCTAAGCCGCAGAGGCCAAGATATCCTGACTTTTAGTCTGAAGTATAGGTCAAGCCCTGAAAACACTGGATCCTACATTTACTATAATACAACTCAGTGGCATCTTTCGTTAAACCTGGTAAATGTCCATGTCTTTCAAACTCTGTGCCCCCAGTTTGTAACACAGGCTTTCTGCTAAAAATGTGTTGTCTCCAAACCCAAGCCATGGATGATGTCACCAGGGTCAGTTTTTGAACTTTGGATAGCTTTAGTTCTCACAGGCTGAACAGTATCACAGATAAACTCAACTTAATGTGTAAAATTGGTGATTTACCCCTTTAAAACAGCAGAACTTTGTAAAATGATAACATGATATGATCTTACTGTCTTCACACAGAAAGACAATAAATTATAATACCGAAAACTGCCCTTAGACATACACTGACTAGTTTTAAAACACTTTATAGAATTATAAAAGGGTATTTGATTTCTTGACACATACACATACCATATCATTTAAAAGCTTAAATTTGTATATCAGTTTCCACTTGGCTTTGAAATTTCAAAGCAATTCATCAGACACTTACCACTGTCATATAATAGCTACTAAGTACCCTGCCTGGTGTCCTGGCCAGAGGAGAGCCCTGGGGTGTCAGTGAGGGCCAGCTGGAAACCTAAGCCTCAGCCCGAGCAGGCCACCTCCTCTCTCGGGCTCTCTACCCTCTTCAGGAATGTGTGATTCTTTTCCAGCGCTGCTTCCCCAAACCACCACTCGGTTAGAGAACAGAGCAGCGCTGATCCGCGATGGCACAGCTGTGGTATTGTCTGTTCCCCGGGGTGGTGTGTGACAGTGGCTCCCTTGGCCAGCTCCATTGTGAAGCCTCATTCAGTGCAGAGTGCTGGTGTAGGCTTTTTGTGTGCTGTTATTTAGCACAGACGACTGGTGCTGGCACATCTCTGGCCCATACTGTAGAACTGAGGGGGTAAATGAGGCAGGTCCCATTTTGACACTTCAAAGTGATTATACACAGCTTTTGTTGTGTCCTTGAAGGGGACATTGCTCACCACAGTCTGTTATATCTTTGTCATTTATAATTTTTTTATTTACCTTTGATCTCTCCCTTTGAACCTGTGCAGATTTGCTGATTTTTACTATTTAATCATTTTCATTCCGTCTGTATCATTTTTAGCTAAAAAAAAAAAAAAAAAGATTTATTAGTGATTTTGTTTTTCAACCGCTTACATTACTTCCAAGCTTGTGTTTCATTCCAGACTCAATGCATCATATTTGTCATTCAGTTAATTACCCAAGTGATGACGTAGACATTTTGGCAGGTTGAATCAATTCAGGGTAGAACAGTCTCGTTGTCAGCCGTATTATTCTCCTGCCATGTCTCAACCAGGCCATTGTCATTGAGCCACAACATTTCAGCACAGCAGCATCCTGCACCGCATTGAGTTGTGATAACAGGGAACACGGCCACACTGGTGTCAGGATGTGTCCTGCTTTATCTGCGTGCCCTGGGAGCAGCCAGCCTGGAGAATGAGCTGTGGAGAGGCTGAGAGGCTGACTGGGACCCAGGTGGTCCCACGCAGACAGACAGGTCATTTACAGCCCGCACTGTACACACATCACTGGGCTCTTACAGACTGACAAGCTCTAACAGAGAGATTTGTCAGGCACTCAGGGAGAATAAAGAAGTCGAAGAACAGGAATGTGTGTGCGTGCGTGCGTGTGTGTGTGTCTGAATATGTGACGAGTACTGCCTGGCTATCAGACGGGGCTTTCAGAAGCAGGAAAAGACTTGGTGTAATAACCCAACTGTGGACCCCCACGACTGTTCTGAACCCTGTGCTACCCCCAAACCAGCCCCCCTGCTAGGTGTATGAGCCACGGGTTAATTGTCATGCAGGGAGGTAAAATTATGGGTGTGGAGGGTCCCTGCACCTCAACAAAAGTCCCCATCTGCCCCCCCACTCCGCACCCTTCTTCATCCTTCCTTCAAGTTACAACTAATTCCTGGAGCGGTGCAGTGAGAAAGGCGCTGCTATCTCTTATTAAGACCCACTCCTAGACGCCCCATCAACACAGTTCGCCCCCCCACCCCCACCCCCTTTAAGTGCACACACACATATACATACTCATCCACCAAGCTTGCCTTATACTGAACACTGAGGAAAAATAGTGGAGAGTAGAAGAGAGAAAACCCAAGAAAAAAAGGGGGAAGTAGTCAGCAAGCAAGAGTTTTTTTTTTCTACCCTTCTCTCGCTCTCCCTCTCCTTTTTTTCCTGATTTACCGCGCTTTCCTCAGAAAGCTCCATTGTTCCCCTAGCCTAAGTCTCATCAGGCCTTTTGTGGCTGACTATCACAGCGGCAGGCAGAGAGCTGGAAATGTATAAATGGTATCATGCCTTGTGATTAATGGCGGTGCTTATGAGTCAGGTCTGATAACGGGCCTGCTCTCTACTCAATTTCAGATACCGTTAATGGAATCTGTCTTCTGCGATTGTAATGTGAGAGCGCCTAATTTGCTATGGAGCTTGAAGCTGTCACCGGCAAGGGATTGTGGGGTCATAAGGGACCTGGCAGCCGTTTGGCCTGCAGCTTGTATCTGCGGTGCTGAATAGAGCAGCTCTCTGCCTGTCAGTTAGCTGATAGGCTGATGAGGACTCTAAGCCACTCCACACAATGGCGGAAAGGGCCATACTGCCTGACTTCCCTAATTGTCGAGCCTGCTCATATTTCAGAGCCAGCATGCCGGGGACTGGGCTGCTTTTTTTTTTTTTCTTTTCTCTTTTTTCCCCTCTCTCTTCTTGAACTTTTTTCTTCCTTTTTCTATATTTCATCCTTCATCCCGCACACTGTCTCACCCCTTTAACGCACACTTCTCTGCACTATTTTTCTTTTCTTTCCCTTCTCGCCATCATTTGTCGCCCCTCTCTCTCTCCCCCTCTGTCTCTCATTTTAGTAAGTGGTGGGTCTTAGCGTATGACAGATTATCCCAAGTTTGCTTCAATTACCGCAAAGGAGATGGAGACAGTACAGGAGAGGAGGAAGGGGAAAACTTTTGTGCACACATTATATTTAAGAAGCTGAGGATAAAGTGCTATCTCTACCACGGTGGTTTCTGTGCCAGTCTGCTCGAGATCAACCGGCTGCTGGGGAGGGACTTCTCATGATATGTGAATTGCCCCAATTCACTGAGAGTGTTTTTCAAGGTCTTGTCCGAGAAGCAAACTTGGGTCGTAGAGAGATTATAATGGGTCCCCAAATTAGTCTGAGGGAAGTGGTGCCTTTTTTGACTGCAGAATTTTAATTTTGTGTGAAGCTGCTGACTTTGTTGTTTTGCCTTTTTTGTGTCAGTGCAGAGTAAGTTACGCCAAATAAAATACAGAAAAAAACACTAAGAGTTCTGTAGCCCTTCGAACTGACTAAGAGCAAACAGTGAGGCCAGAATTGTTAAATTTGAATATTTTAAGATATTTTTTCAGATTAATTTTAGTTTAGTTGGTGAAATAATTGTTGACGGTTGCAGCAAGCCTATAGTGAAAAATGTATACATGTCACCAAAGATAAAACAAGTGCCAATGTCAGTGCCTGACCCTTCCTCCGGGCCGCCCGATTCCTCAGTTTGGTTTGAACCAGATTTATGATTTCCCAGATATTCCTGGGTTTGCGTGGCAAGTTGAGCACAGGTGTTTCCTAAATTGTGTATGACAATGTTGGCCTCTTCTCCCTCGCTGTCAGGTTGGCAGGTCCTGGCCCTGGAGCAGTACTGGCAGGAGGGCTGTTTGCTGTGTCCAGGCTGAGCTGGCAGTGGTCCATGGTGGCAGAGGTCTTCACCCTCAACAACCTTTTTGTCGGTCTGCTCTTCTTCCTGATCGCCAGCTTTCACTGTGCTGAAAATGCAACGCAAAGGAGGAAGGTAATCTAGTGCAACATGCAAATTTTTCTCTGATGTCAGATGTCTTGTTAAGATAATTTCACATTGAACTCACATTACTATACTGAACTGCTTGCCCTTGACAGATTTCACATTGGGGAGCGCTATGCTGTGGCTTGGGCCTCTGTAACCAACACACCCTGGTGCTGTATATACTAGTTGTCATTCCCTGGGTCCTTCACCGACTCTACTCTCATAAGGTAAGCCCTGGGCTTTCATGAATCAAAGCTCACATGGAAGAAAATTTAAATCCCAAGACAGACAAGAAAATTTGTTTCTCAAATGTCCAGCTGTGTTCAGTCAACATTTATAGATCGTACATTTGAGAGTAAAGTAGAAATTAAGTAACTTCTGAAAACCTCTCGTAGTATAAGTGGAAAGGGTTTATCCAAGAACCTGGGAGCAATTATTCTGACAGATATATAGATAGATCTCTGAAAAAAACTTTTTTAAATATCCAAAAGTCTTTATTATTATTATTATTATTATTATTATTATTATTATTATTATTATTATTATTATTATTATTATTATTATTATTAATATTTTTCTTTTACCATAAAGAGGTCGGAGAACCACTTGGTTTTCTGAGAGGTTTGAGAGCAGGTCCCCGATGAACTCAGATGGTGTAATGTTAGCATTACGCTTTAAGACATCATAGTAGGAGAGAGGATGATTTTGAATGTAGAGTTGGTTTTCATTAGTCTCCTCGGTCTTGTTACCATCACATCTACAGTGTAGGCATATGTCAAACTTTATATTGAATTCCCAGTTACTTTATGTAGCAGCAATATTTCAAAATGTTTGACTTCCATTTTCGGGAACATTGAGACATTAAGTTTGTCTCCCATGTGATTCTTGGCAGGAGCTGTCTTTGCGTGGCCTTGTGTCTCTGGGAATATGTTTCCTCGCTGGTTTCCTGCCGTACATCTACCTGCCCATCTCTTCCTACCTCAACACAGCCCGCTGGAGCTGGGGAGATCAGACCACCATGTCAGGCCTGCTGACCCACCTGCTGAGGGCTGAATACGGCACCTTCAGTCTGGTATGTGCTGCCTACCCTGCTATTTTTAGACTTCATCTGTATATGTGCTCCTATTTTATCTTGCATCCAGATGTTTTTAGCTTGTTTCCTTTCCTTCCTTGTTTCCAGGCAAAGACCGAGAGCCTTGTGAGCTTGACCACAATGTTACAGTAAGTTTCTGTGGCAGATTTTTTTTTACCTTTCCTTTAGACTAAATTGCTTAAAAAATTGAAACACAAAAACAACTTGATTACTTGATTAATTTATTTACCACTGTATTTCATCAGGTAATTGAGTAATTGTTCAGTCTATAAAAACGCCAAAAGAATTGTTAAAAATGTCCATCAAAATTGTCCAGAACCCAAAGTCACATCATCCATTTGCCTGTTCCATCTAACCAACAGTCCAGTGTGTTTTGTCTTTACTTAAGTACATTCTAAAATAAAGTTGGGAAGAAACAGTGGAGAAAACTGGATGGATTTGATCTGAAGCACATGGTTCTAGAGATGGAGGACCCAAATGCACTTTGTGCTGGTTCTGGTGTTTTACACAGGTTAAACCACAGACACATCAGTCTCTTCTGAGAACCCCAGAGTCATTTCTGCAGCCGTTCTCGTTTTCTCCCTCTCTCCTCTCCCCAGCAGCTTTTGTTCTTCCCATTCCACTCTCTCTCTCCCATCAAAGCAGAACTGAACCTGCTTAGAGGGCCAAATCGCTGTGTTCTGTTTCTCCAGCAGTTTGAAATGATCACTCAGCTCTGGTGTTTAAGCGTGACAAGCTGTGATGACAGACACTGCAACAGAGCTGGAGAAATTGTATTTTTCCACTCCAGCACCCCCCACCTCCTCCACCCGATTCCCTCCCCTGCTCCCCACTTCCACCACCACTACCACCACCACCACCACCGCAGTCATCCCACTCCCGGTATCTTTCTCCAGCTGACGGGATGGGGGTGTATGTGCGTCTTAAGACCCCCCACTACTAGCCCCCCCTCTGCCAGGCACCCACCCCTTCCCATCACCCCTGCTGCTTGATGGACAAGCACACCTTCAAGATGGGGAAGAGAGGCGAACATGACAGGCATATCGCACTGGAGACGTAAACCCACTGGAGAAGCTGACACACACACTCACAAACACACGCTCATGAGCACATTCACACATAGTGTACATTGGGAGATATAGAGACTCAATAAGCTGTCAAATAGAGATGGGTATTAAGGAAGAGGCAGGAAACTATCTCTCTCTCTGAGCAAGCGCTCTCTGACTGACAGGCGCTGTGAGGAGAGGATGGGGCAGCGGGGGGTGGATGACACAGTCATTCGTATCTGTCAATCCGATTGAAAGGAGGAACGCACAGTCCAAGGAGTTTGTTTTGATAGGGGATGGAGGGCATTTAATAATTGGTGTCCTTGACTTCAGTAGCAGGGTGGATAATTCAGCTTGCCTTTGGTGTCCATCATATATGTTTATATGGGTGTTTGTGTGTGCAGGGCCCAGATGGACCACTGCCTTGCGGACCTTTCACTTCCTGTTTTGGTACTGGCAGGAATAGGCCTGCTCCTCTCCTCATGGAACAGGTAGGATGATGGAGACGCCCGCATGCAAAACACCATACTCTGTCACACACATCTCAGCAGCCACTTCACCCAAAAAATCTAATCCCCTGGAGTAAAAGAAGGGAACAAAACCACTGACAAAATGCTGATCTTAGAAAAAAGAATACAAAAAAACACTGAGGCACCTTACTGTCAAGCTGTCGTGACGCTCTACATTCAAATCAAGAGGGGGTGATGTGTGTTTTGGATTTTCAAAAACATGTTGGTGTGTACAAGTAAATCTATGCTTCCATGTATCTGTATGTGGCAGAGTGGCAATGTGATCCAGTAATTTATTACAGTGGCGCCTTTGCTGGGGTCTGTCGGGTGGAGCTGATAAAGCCTAGTGAAGCCCTGGGGCTCTGTAGGGCATCGGCCACCCCCCTGTTTCCCCCTCTCCTGGGGTGAACTTTGATCATCTTGGCTATATACACACACACAGATGAAAAAGAGCAAGGTCATTTTATAGGATGCCATAATAAAAACATGCAAATGCTGATTTACCAGTATTAAATTAGTGAGAGAAACTGTTTGTAAGTTTATTACTCAAAAATCTGAATTTATTGTGCATGATGTGACACAACTTTGATAGAAAGCTCGATAGTGTGTGTCAGTGACCAGGCACTTAAAACCATCAAATCAGTCTCTTGGCAGGAAAAAGCAGAAGTCATATTCTCTGGCTTGAAAGAGTTCTTCAGGTTCAGATGATGATTTGTTTTTGCCGTAAGGGTAACGTGTTTTCTTTTTAGTGTATAAGTACATTTTACAGCTGTACTGTAATGAGTTTGTGATTCAGCAGTTGGCACCAGCTCATTATGACTCAGTCTGCATTAGAAAATCAATCATGCACCTCTTAGCTGGCTGGCATATACATTTGCTCTTGGGCTCTCCAACCCTGCAATATTTTATTCAAAACAAGTATATTTTTACAGAGTAAACAGACAAAATAGTACTTTAGACTAGATATACATTAGGGAAATATATCTAGAGTTTATACAACAATATTCATTCGAATTTAGAACAATATTTGTACATAAATAATAAGTGGTCTCATGTCCTTTCCTGTCCTAGGACATGTCGCTCAGTGTCCTGGCTGTTGACTGCCATGCTGGTGGTCTACTCACTGTTTTTTGCTTGGAGAGCCAACCTGGACATCAGCAGACCCCTACTGCTTGGAGTGGTGAGTTGTGAGACTTGAACTCATTCTGCCATCCTCTCTTAGCCAAACTGTTTGCTGTTATTATCATGTATCTGCAGTGGTCAAGAAGGCTTCTTAAAGATTGAGTTACAGTAGACATTACAGCATAATTTTCTATTAATGGGTCCGTGTGTAGAGGAGGGTGAAACAAGAGCACTTGAACAGTAGTACTTACGCTGATCCTGGAACAGGTGCATTAGTGAACCCAGGTCTGGACTTAGAATCAAAAAACAACAAAAACCTACAGGAAACACTGGTGTGTGTGTGTGTGTGTGTGTGTGTGTGTGTGTGTGTGTGTGTGTGTGTGTGTGTTTTTGTTTGTGTGTGTGTGTGTGTTTTTGTTTGTGTGTGTGTGTGTGTGTGTTTTTGTTTGTGTGTGTACATGCGTACACTCACTTCCTGCAGGTTGAGCGTTTCTGGCTCCAGAGTGATGCTGCAGTGTGTGTGCTGGCAGGCCTCGGCTTGAGCCAGGCTCACACTGAGCTGGAGAGGAGGCTGGGACGTGGGGGGGTGTGGAAGACCACAGGCTGGGTCCTCACTATGGCTCTGCTGGCACATATGGTGCACACCAATCACAGGTGAGCATTGCAGTCAGTTGCAGTAACAAAGTTACAATACTGTGTGTTTTTTTTTTTTTTTATTGTTTTGCTCAACAACGCACTGCGTTTCAAATGAATCAGTGATTACAATGGGTTGCAGTTAAATTACCTTGTTTTGTAACACACACTTTGTGGACAATTATCAAATCAAATACCACAACAATAATTGTGATCACAGTAGATCAATGAACTTGACTAAAAATGCACACAGAATAATTAAAAACAAATTGTCACACATCAGTCATGCAGGATCTTCAGTGTTGTCTTCTATTGCTGTTTTTTTCACGTATCCGTTCCTCTGACAGAGCTTGGCATATATTCAATACCCGATACCATCAGTGATGCTTTTCTTCCATAGCAATTGTAGCCGCATTCAATTGTACATGCACAGTCTATCAGTGATTCCAAGCTCTAATAGTGTTTTTGTGTCAAGCTGCTGTTGTTTTAGATCAGTCCAATTCTGTTGAATCGCTGTGCATCTATCTGTGGAATCAGTTTTATTTTCGGAGTCTTGCTGTTGCTATAAGTACACTGGAGCCGAATGTGTCCAAAGTGACTTCTAAGTACTTCTGTATAGTAAAGTTAAAGTGAAATAAAAACTCCCCTTTCATTCTAGTTTCTTCTAAAATCCCCCTGCATAAGTTTTCCCTGAGTCAACCCGATTTGTTTCTCCTCTGTGCTTCATACCGAAGGTCTGAACTCCGCATGTCAGGTTTTTCTCTGCTCACCCCATGGTAGGGGCTAAAGAGAGGCACGGTTAGCACATAGATTCCACTCACAGAGCTCAGTCTGAGATGTTAGCTGTCCGAGAAGGCAGATTACACCAGCGTAGTGCTGGGGAGTGCCAGACAGCCATCACTGAGCGGCTTTGATCAAGGGGAGAGCATGGCCTGTGCTGTCAGACCCATCACACCTGTCTCCCCATGATTAGATAGGCAGCCAGAGCGCTCCGCAGAGGGGAAGGGGCGGGGGCACTGACAACTTACCCTCAGAGCACCTTGAAAGCGTACCTACAAACACTCGTGCACACACACACACACACGCACACAGCTGCACACATCACACACATTTCTAAGCAGGGGTAAGGATGCACTCAACCCCTTTTTAAATGCAACTAAACACAACTTGTGTTTTGATGATATTACACAGTATGACTGCAAATGTACTGATGATCTTAGGGAGTGTGATCAGAGCAGTAACAGTGTGGTGGAGCGGTTCGGGAGGGAGCTTCTGGCCTCCGTCCCAACAGACTCGATCATCCTGACCAGAGGAGATCTGCCTGGAAACTCCCTGCGCTACTTATACTACTGCCAGGATGTACGGCCCGATGTACGCCTGGTTGACCAGGAGGTCAGAGCTTTGATTTCTCCACTGTCTTGTCTATGTTAAGTCGAGACAGTTCTCATTGAAGTTTTTGTATTTGATACATATCAAATGTAGGAATTTTGTCTTATTAAGAGCACTTGAATTTCAGTAGTCAAAGAACAGGTCCTTCTGACCTTAAGTTGTAGTAGTGTTACATAGGTATAACAATAGAAATAATTAGTGGCCAACCTGAAGAACAGAGATTTAAACTGACATTATTGAATTGTGTGTATTGTAATGACATTTTATATTCTTTGTTCTTCATGTTATATGCTGACAAATTGTATGCAAGGTGGCATAGAAAAGGTTTCTTTATTCTCAAAACAGAAACAAGAAAAGAAAGGACAGATTTTGTGGAGGAAAGGAAGATTGCCTGGCAAATTATATTTCTGGGAAAAGCGGCAGTGTACCTTTTACCTGCTGTGTGATAAAAGACTGAAATCTATACAAAATACAGAAAATAAAAAAAGTCTGTTGTAGGCTTTCTGCTTTGTATATGTCACTATGTAGATCATAAGTTTATATATCTCTTTATCAACATCACTATCATAAGTGGCTTTAAGCCAGCAATGTAATAAAAAATAAAAGATAAAAACAAGAGCTTCCAACTTTTACTCTTAAGGAAGAAAAAAGTACATCCTTTTCTTTACGTGACATCATTCAGTGTGGTAATTCTTTAACTGCTAATCACAGTGAATACAAAGATTTCAACAGAGTTGGTGGTACCCTTTCTTCTTTCTAGATGATGACATACACTTGGTATGTGGCCAAGCTGGCGCAGCACCACCCTGGGGTCCACTTCCCTGGCCGCTGGTGGGATCCGGTCCACCCTGAGGGGAAAGACACCTTCAGTCTGGAGCAGTTTCTGTCCCACAACACGCAGTGAGTCACCGGAGAGAGTAGAGAGAGAGCAGACGGGGAATAAAGGGATGGTCTGAAGAGATAAATAGAAGGATGTAAAATCGAGAGAGTGTGAATTGGGAGGGGAAAAATGGTCCAGATGAACAAGTGGGTGATCTAATGAGGCAGAGATCAGTGGGATGGTCGACACAGCGGTGAGTGCAGGGAGTAGATAAGCCCATAAAACTGTTGAGGCCATAAAAGGAGTTTGATGAACTGCAGAAGTCGACTAATCTACTTGATTTGGTTAAACAGTCTCTGGTGGACTTATAGCTGCTCCCTGCTCACATTCACTCCTCTAGGAGGAACTGAGACCCAGAAACTGGCAGGAGACCTGTTAATGCCAAGGCCACCAGGGGGCAGTGTTTGCCAGGCCAACATGTCTGTCTCTCTGTGGGGCAACACTGACCTGTGGGATTAACCCACAGGGCTCGAGCCTTTGGTGAGCAGCATTAGGCTGGAGGAAGCTAGGAGATGTTGTGATGAGAGGAAATGTTTGTTTTCATGGTGTTCCTGTGTTTCTCATCATCAACAGTCACCTGGAGAGAATAACTGAGGATGTGAGCAAGCCTCTATCTGATTGTTTGTATCTGTTTTTCTGCAGGAGGGATGTTTTCACCTGCATTGGGCTGTCTGATGGAGACCCTAGCTGGGAACGTAGCTTCTCTCGCTGGCCCCTGGGTGTGTGTGACTACTTAGTGCCAGTTCAGAGGCGGTTTCACCCTGAAGAATGGGCTCGACGCACTCGCAACATCTACAACTGGAGCGAGCCACACAACAGGTGCAAACACAGATAAAAACAATTATGCCTCTGAACAGGTTTGTCTTTGAGCCACTAATGGTCCTCTTTTTCTCCTTTCAAGTAGCTTCCAGGTAAAAAAAAAAAAAAGTAATCTTACTCCACACTGTCTGACAGTATCATATGTATTCTGTATCAGCTTGTTGCAGCTCCTCATTGAGGTTATGTTTGTCATCAAATGTAAAAGTTCTAAATGTCGCATCATTTTATACACATTTTACCAAAGTTCAGCCTGACGTATTTGATATCTTTGGAAACTTCAATAAGATTTAAAATAAAGTTCTATGGGTTTGAACAATGTTCGGCTCCACTGTCCCACTGGTGAGTTATTGGGGTTTAAATCCTTTGGCACATTTTAACCAACTTATGATCTTCACAAACTAGAAAGATTCATTCAGAGAATAAAATAAACTTCAACAAATTAGTCATCACCATGTATTTTATCACCAACAGCATCTCTCATTTCTCTGTGGTCTTCAGTCATCCTTCCACAGACTCCACAAAGCTTCCCTCAGTGAGGTTGTCCTCTGTTCTCCATGCTGTGATCCAGCTCTTTGGGAATTCAACCAGAGCAAGACATTAGGCCCTCAGCCATTTGAAATGAGACTGAAGATGAAAAATAATGAGTTTCTTATTGCGTTTTGTCAATAACTGTGTCAAAAGTGGAATTAGTCAAAGCTCCATATTCTGTTGCTGTTGCCAGCAGCCCTTCATTCACTCAGATATCCACGGCTGAATACTGTGACATTATTTCCCGCACCCTCACGACAAGCGTGTCCGCCAATGCCCACAAGCCAAATATTAGCTCGGGAACCCTGCTAAAATATTCTTTTGAAGAAGAGGTCAAGTGTTTACAGTCAACAAAGTGAAAAAGGGAGATGTGATTTTACTCCATGTCTAATGTGGTAGCTAGTATTGTTGCTCAGTCATTTAATGTTTATGCAGCAAACATTGATGTTTAGTGTATCGAAACCTGCACAGTTGAGTGGAACAATATATTCACGCAAATAATCATTTATAGTTAGTGGAACTGTGCACTAGCGAATGCCTGAAGCTCTTTAGATAAAGAAATGTGTTTTTTTTTTTCATGTGTGAACAGTTTCCATCCTGCGTCCTGGGAGCGTGTCGCTAATGAGGAGATGTGGCAAGCCAGGTACAGTACACTCTTTTTTTTCCAGGATGCACTGGTTTCCTCTTTAGAGAGGTTGTATCCTTTAGTGTGCAGATAAAAAGCTGCGTCACAATGCATACTAGCCCACTAGAACATCTCCATAAACCAGTCTTGTGTGGTAGAGCATCTACATGTACATTCTATTTGGTGGTGGCATCTACATAAATCACTCCATTGGAGTGGTGCGTCTGAGAGTGTGGATCTGCATGGCTCATCCATCCAGCACTTAGCCCTGAGCCTGCGTGCTTTGTTTCAGGATGAAGACGGCTTTCTTTCTGTTTGACCTGGCAGAAAGGATGCAGGGAGAGGGGAAAGCTCGCCTCTTTGAGCTGTCTTACACTGTGAGTCTGACCTCAACAAACATGCAACAGAACTGTCATTTACCATAAAGGTGCAGATTTAAGTCCCACACGAGGCAAAGTATGACATATTCAGTGACTTTACATTTTCTTGTTTTCGGTAACATCTGTTTTAATGTGTCTCTCTCTGTGCATACGTTCGTGTGTGTTTTCTGGACAGCTGTATAAGGAGATTGTGGAGGCCCACTCAGACTACCCTCCAAACTGGGACAAGAACTTGGCACTGGCCTGTGAGAGGCTGCTTCGCTCGGGTCACCGGGGCTACAGTCCAGACAGCCTGCTGACCTGCAGCGCCCAGCACTTTAGTCTCTACTTAGAGAAGGACCCGACGGATCCCCAGGCTCCTGCCATACGCTCTGCCGTTACTCACCTGCTCGAAGAGAGAGACAGGCTCCGCCAGAGCCGCGGGCAAACCCCATGACTAGATCCATAGAGACCTACATGGAGCTGGCACACTGAGAGTGTGCTGTGAGCCCAGGCGAAGTGTGAGGCAATGAGGGCGAAGTCTGAGCCAATGTGCCTCTTGTCATGGTTCGAGGGTGTTGCTTCAGAAGGACACAGACTGATGCAGTGGTGTTAAGCATAATGGACTTGGCCAAATTGGACTTACAGGTTTGGAACTGGACTTGGGAGTGCTGATGCAGGAGCACTAGTCTCTAGTTATCTAGTTATCTAGTTTGTGCAGAGTTCTAGTTACAGAACTCTGCACAACTCTGCACTCTGACTGAGCCATGCTTCATTGAATGAATGTTTACAGTTGACCAGGGACAGAGCTTGACTTCAGGAAACCTTGACTGACCCCAATCAAGCTGTGCGTGTTCCCCCTAAACTCACCATTCGATTGCTTTATCGTTACATCTCGTTCTTTTTTTTCTCCTCCTCTGCTGATTATTTTGCCTCAGCCACTGCTCCACTTCTCTTTTTCTCACATTAGGATGGCAAGGCCGAGATTGAGGGAAACCCAATTTGGGGGCAGAAATGGGGGATTAGAGCAGCTGTTTAATCTAGGACAGACTTGTGCTGTGCCACAGAGTCCTCACTACGCATCACCAAAATTACCCACCCACCCCTCTCTACATCCATCAGTCTATCTTAGATGGTCCTTTAAATGTTTAAAACTAATGGATGAGTGTTTTTTTTCTCTCTCTTCCTTCCTAACCAGAGGGTTATAATCCCTCATGGATTTAAATGAAATGTGAAATGTCACAATGCCAGGGACCCTTTTAGAGGTGCGTTTGTGTGCTTGCATGTGTGTTGATTTGTGTTTGCATGTCTATGTGTGTGTGTGTGTGTGTGTGTGTGTGAACATGCTTAAATCTCCACCCAAGCCCTTTCCTTGCCGGAACTACATATAAAACATAGTCGATAAACAGATCAGCACACTGAAAAACAAAGTGCTTTGATCATCGTAGAAGCACAAACTCCTGCAAACTCCAGGGACGGACGTAGACACGCGAGTCTGTCGGCTTCCAGGAAAATGGACTTACTGCCCTGTGGTTGCTGGGAAGGTGGCATGCAAACACAACGAATGGACCAGAATCTCCTGTCTTTGACGTGTTCTCAGGATCGGACACCTCAGTTCAACACAGTTTTTGTGAATATTGGAGCTGATGTTAATAAGCCTTGTGGCATGAAATTTGTTAAGCAGAGGTCAAACTAGTGTATTGCTATAAGCTTTATAAAACACTGCTGAAGGAGCCTGCTGTTTGAGATACCACTAGAAAGCGGAGGACAGTAAGTGCATGTGTAGTTTTCTCAGAATGTAATCTGCCCTCTGTTTGCAGGCCTGGTTAGCGGCTGTCAGCTGGCTGGATGATGAGATTCAACCTGCTGTAGCACAGATGGTTTGCTTTCTCAAAAAAGGGAAAACTGTCACTCTACTTTCAACAGATTAAAATATTCCAATAAAGATTTTGTTTATTTTAATACATTTTTGGGCCCTTTCTTGCACGGTAGGAATAGGCCTTTTGAGTAACAAATATTGATCATATTTGTTGTTGTTTGTTGTTTTTTTTTGACATTACAAACAAATGAAAAACATAGGATTAAATCATGTTTTAACTTCACTTACGTATTCATGTGTTGTTGCATGTTTACATCTCATGCCCCTGTATTATTTTTACTTTACTTTCTTCCTGTCCTCCCCTTTGTCATCCCTGTCTTGTCTCCCGCCCTCTCAGTCTCTCATCCCCTCTCACCCTGTCTTTCCCTAACCCCTCTGTTTCTCTCCTCTCCCCTGTCTCTGAGAGTCAGTTGCCCACCCTAAATCAGCAAGCTGCCGAGGATTGTGGGAACCCATGGAATCGCCGTGACCAGGGATGCAGGCAGGGAGCCACGGCAACGCTGGAATGTGGGGCGTCTGAGGAGATAAGAGCTGTGAGCCCAGCCAGGGAGAGGGGAGGGATGCAGCGAGAGAGGAGTGAGGAAGGGGGGGGGGGGATGCTAGAAGTGAGGAGGGTGAGATGGAAACAGGGAGAGCAGCAAGTCTGTGAATGGGGAGACAGAAACACAACACCATAAACAGCCCAGAGAGCAAGACAGAGTGAGACAGAGAAAGAGGGGCGGGGGACTTAGGGGGGCACACACTGGAGATGGGAAGCCAGCCTTATTCCTCTTTGCATTTCATTTACATCCCTGGCCGTATCGACCAATCGGATTGGGAGCAAAGCCCAGGGCTTAGGAGGGGAATAAAAAGACAAAATGCCTTTGCTGCTCTCATCCCTCCCTGATAATACCCCTTCTGTTTTTCTTTTCTCTTTTTCTCCCGTCTATAAGTAGATACTGTCCGAAATGCCAGCGGAAAAGCGACACCTCCGCTTGCTGTGTATCTCAGATAGACCGAGCGGGAGCAGGGGCTGAAAAGACAGCTTTAGCAACTGGGCCTATCTCCTCTCCTCTCTCTGGCTGGATGGAGGCTTGGAGTGGAGGGAGGCGGAGGGCTGGGGTGTGTTGGTTAGTGTTTGGGAAGAGAATAGAGGGTGTGAGAGGCATGATATACTGAGCTGGCCACAGATTTTGCAGAATCTTACACTCTGAAAAACTTTGCCTGCAGATCCCTTTCCTAAGCATGAGAAACCTGTTTCAAGGATGTTTACGAGGTGCCACCCATCTTTGTGAAGGTTGCCAGTGCCTTCTGCCAAACTCCACACATATTTTTAGCTTGGGATTGTTGTTATTCTAGTGCACAAAGTTGCAGGTTTGTCTGAAACGGTAACTCTTGCCGGTAAAAGTGAAACCTTTAACTAATAACTATTGTTATTTTGGCTAGATGAAATATTTAACTTTAAACTCATCAATGTGTATTGGGTAGAATTAGGCCCATTAGCACGGTCTGTGTTGACATGACGACATGACAGACTTGTCTCAAGTTTTTGTTTGCTATCACTCATGATGTGTGTGTCTCAGTGTGTGGTAGCCACTGTTTGTATGTCTCCAGTGCAGGTACAGTATGTTTGCAGGTTGACTCAGTTTATTTGTACAGGTGTTTGTAGTGTAACCTTCATTGTGTTCATGTTTGTATTTGGGATGCTTTGTGTCTATTGTGTCTAAATGGACAGAGTGTTTTTGCTGTTTGCAAGTGTCTTTCCTGTATTTAACGGACTATTCCATTGTCTTGGTGCTCATGTCTTTTGTAGGCGCACCCAGACTATTGTACTGCCACTGGACTCAGCGCTGGCATCGCTGCTGATGTAGAGCTTATTGAAAGTGATTGTTGTTGCACAGATGAGCATTCATCTCCTCTGGGGTCTCAACAAAGCATTCAGACGTAGAGAGGGCTCTTTACCTGCTTCCGCCAGATGCCTGTGAGAGATAAGGTCACCTTAGGACCCAGTGTGGACCCCCTCCACCTTCACAGCATCCTCATCCTCCTTAGCCTGCACAACCTCACCCCTCTAAAACAAACCAAACAATGGAAGCAGATATGTGAGGGATTAGAGGTCAGAGGGTTGGGGAATGCGACATCTCCATTTCCAGGATCTATCTTCAACCGCTTAGTAATCTCTGGCCCCAGGCCCTGCATACCTCCAGTAGTCTGTCTGGTTGAGAGCTGGCATTGCCAGGCAGTAGAAGCTGGTACTCCTTCTGGGTGTGGGGTGCTGATTGGAAAGTGGGGGGTGGGGTTGTAACCTGATAGTGTGGAATGATGGAAGAGCAGAGGGAAGAGCGACAATAAGTCCTTCCCCTGTATCGCCTCACCTCGCCAAACCTCACCTTAATCCTCACTGACATGTGTAAATTCATGTGTATGTGTGTTTGCATGTGTGAAATATTAGTTAATGTGCATGAAAATGCATCACCGTGCATCTCCGTGCTTTGTATGCGCACATATTTGTAAAGTTTGTTTTAATCTGTAAATTCGTAAATGTGAAATAACTTTGAGTTCTTCAGAGCAAACTGAATATTATCCCCAAGTTCCCGTTGTTATCTTGTGTACACACATTTGTTTATTTGATACAGCCCCTCTCCACTATGGCACTTCTGTATATCAAAGACAGCAGTGCAGAGCGTAATTGAAAATGGCTACCGTGGAGAAAGGTCTCTCTCTGCTTTGACTGCGAAGAGGCAGAAAAAGCCCTATTCTCCGCTCCCTTCTTAGATCTATTTAAATAATTGAGGAGTAAACTGACAAATTAGGCACCTTTATGGACGCCCCTGGGCTCTCTCTGGGGTCCTTCAGTTTCCCCAATACAAGAAAGCGCCACCAGGCACAGGATAATATCTCTGTATGCTTTGAGAGAGGGGGGGTGGGGGGGGTGGAGGAGAAGGGAAGGAGGGTAGTGGGCCAGGAGGGGTTTCGCCAATCAAGCAGGCCACACTTCCTCCCCCAGGTTCTAATTTTGTGCCACATTAAAGAGCTCGGCCTCCATTTAGGACACAGAGAGGCATTTTCATAATTTGCCGGGTCTCTTGACTAGCTCGGGGTGCCTTTTTTCCTCTCTCTCCTCCCTCTCTCTCTCTCTCTCTCCGTGTCTGAATGGAAGGCCTGGGGAGGAAGAGGGGTAATTCATTCGCCTCCTTTCAACCAACCGGCGTCAGTTCTGCATAATGTTGCTGCTAGGTGTGTATAGCGGCTAATATTTATCTCTTTAATAATTCTCTATTAGACCTGAATAGTATATGCTGTATAAAAGCTAACACTGCTTATTGTCAGCCAATAGGAAATGGTCTCATTCACGTTTTGTTGACTCATTAAGGCTGATTCACATGCCTTTATTTAGCATCCTAAGTACAGCTAAAGACTATGGTGGATCTAATCTGACCATGCAGCCGTACAGCTGTGCTGCCTACATTGATAAAAATCTGTGATCCAGCATATATAGAGTACATAATCTAGGTTAAAGTTGTTTCATTTCTTCTTCCTGACACCATCCATTCATGCAGTACGGCATGTGTAAGCATTGATTCATATGTGATTGGTCACATAATTCACAGTCTCAGGGGGCATTTCATCGCTGACAGACAAGCTAATCTAAAATCCCCCAATTTACAAATGAAAATCCCACCATCCAATTGAGCTAATAGAGGGACTTGAATGGGATAATAAGATGTGGTGTAATACTGTGTAAAAAGCCTGTAATGTTGTGTTGGTGTAAGAGCCTGTGTGACTGGATGTTTGACTGTTTGCAGTGATTACAGGGGCCTGCGGGCCTGGCGGCGGCTCCGTGGCTGGGACAGGGAGCTTCTCCCTGGGCAAGGAGATACGCTTGTCTGCCCCTTCTGCTGGAGCTACAGGGACCAGGATGTCAGGAGGGAGAGTGCACCCTGTGAGCTCCCTCTCTCTCTCTCTCTCTCTCTCTCTCTCTCTCTCTCTCTCTCTTTCTCTCTCTTTCCCTCTCTCTGTCTTTCTGTCTCTTTCTGTCTGTCTCTCTCTCCCTCTCATCTCGCTGTGTCTGTACTATTGCAGTGCTTGCAGATGTGCACAAACAAGGGAGGATTAAAGCAAAACGAATCTAAACAGACAAATGGAATTAGAGTGATGGGTGTCGGTGGGCTGGTTCACAGTGATAAACATAATGATGCTCTGTGAGTGTGTTTGTGTGTGAGTGTGTGTGTTCCTGTGTCTAGGGGATTATCGGTGGTTAGGTGTGTGGTGTGTATGGCTGGGTGACTGCTTCTGGGTGTCTTTGTGTGTTTGCCTATCTGTCTATGTTTTTGTAATTATGTGTGTGTATATTTACTCGGTCTCTACTTGTGTGTGTGATAAATGTGTTATTCCATATTGCCTCACAAAAACAAGTCTGCGCCCTCTGCATGTGTGTGGATATGTTTCTGTGTTGTTCGGGGTCATACTTCCTTCTTGTCTTTCATAGTGTCTGTTTGTGTTTGTGCACTGGCGCTACCTATGCCTGTATGTCTCTAATGCACATGAAAAAAAACTCTTCACCCAGTATTGACATACACCTAGAATGATAAGAGAAGGTTAGTGGAATATGAAGGCCTCAAACGCAAAATTTTCATAGCAGTCTGCAGTTTATGTGCAGATGTTTGTGTTTTCTTGTGGCAGGGGTCTGTTTGTATGTGTGCTGAGGAGGTCAGGAGTTTGGTGGAGCCAGCAGGGGGGCGGTGATCAACAGTCTGGGGCTCCCCTGCCGAGGGGCTCTGGGATTAGGGCTAAACCCTGCCCTGCCAGATGGGCACAACACATCCTCAACATCGCGCACCAGCACCTTTAGGACTGCATTCACCCTGCCCCCTTCTTCTGTGGAAACAAGTCGACTGGAACCAGGGTGATACTCACTGGTAGGCTTCTCCACTTGCTCAGAAGTCAATAAAACAGTGCTGACACGATCACAACACATTCTAAATAAGTTGTACCCAATATTTGAAAAAAAAAAAGAAAACCTTTTTTTGCATTTAAATAATATCATACACAACCAAATCATATCGGTATTAATATAGGAAATAATCAATGGGTGGCTGGGTAA